AGAGCAACAATATAAGGTTATCTGTCAGAGCACTTAGGTAAGGTTATTTGTCAGAGCAAGTAGATGAGGTTATATGTCAGAGCAAATAGATGAGGTTATATGTCAGAGCAAGTAGATGAGGTTATATGTCAGAGCAAATAGATGAGGTTATATGTCAGAGCAAATAGATGAGGTTATTTGTCAGAGCAAGTAGATGAGGTTATATGTCAGAGCAAGTAGATGAGGTTATATGTCAGAGCAAATAGATGAGGTTATATGTCAGAGCAAATAGATGAGGTTATTTGTCAGAGCAAATAGATAAGGTTATTTGTCAGAGCACTAAGATGAGGTTATTTGTCAGAGCAAGTAGATGAGGTTATCTGTCAGAGCACTTAGATGAGGTTATTTGTCAGAGCAATCAGATGAGGTTATTTGTCAGAGCAAGTAGATAAGGTTATTTGTCAGAGCAAATAGATAAGGTTATTTGTCAGAGCACTTAGATGAGGTTATTTGTCAGAGCAAGTAGATGAGGTTATCTGTCAGAGCACTTAGATGTGGTTATTTGTCAGAGCAAATAGATAAGGTTATTTGTCAGAGCACTTAGATGAGGTTATTTGTCAGAGAAAGTAGATGAGGTTATCTGTCAGAGCACTTAGATGAGGTTATTTGTCAGAGCAATTAGATGAGGTTATTTGTCAGAGCAAGTAGATGAGGTTATTTGTCAGAGCAAATAGATAAGTTATTTGTCAGAGCACTTAGATGAGGTTATTTGTCAGAGCAAGTAGATAAGGTTATTTGTCAAAGCAAGTAGATGAGGTTATATGTCAGAGCACTTAGATGAGGTTATTTGTCAGAGCAACTAGTTGAGGTTATTTGTCAGAGCAAGTAAATGAGGTTATATGTCAGAGCAACTAGATGATGTTATCTGTCAGAGAAACTAGATGAGGTTATTTGTCAGAGCAAGTAGATGAGGTTATATGTCAGAGCAATTAGATGAGGTTATCTATCAGAGCTACTAGATGAGGTTATATGTTACATAAGTTGTTTTTGGTAAAATACTCCTTTTACTGGTGTTAGAATATTCAAAAATGTTACAGGTTTAGAAGTTTAGATTGAGAAAAGTACAGTTCTTAATATTGTTTATGTTGTTTGTTCTGCAAAGATGTTAATGTACTATGCCAATAAATGGAGAAGATACATGAGGTGATGTGAAGAACCTCTGTCAGAGGAAACACAAAAGATGGGCAATACTTAAATACCAGCTGACAAGTTTCCCATCAGTGATCATGTAAAGCTGTCAGAATCCAGTAGTTAAAACATCTCTAAGGTTCAGATCTATTAAAATACTGTAAAAGGGTTTTATTGAAGCAGTGATCAGTATTTATTTTCATGGTTTTCTAATGATTTGTCTTTATTGATTTTATTTGTTGTGCTGTAAAATATTTACATTACAGTAGTGTTTTGTTGTTTAATTAATTATAAAGAACAGTTTTAAAGAGCTGTCATTTTAGGTACTAGCATGTTTTGTTGTCAGTTTGATGCTAATTTAGATTGTCTGGTGCAAATGCATTTAACTTTATCAGGCATATAAACACAAAAAAAACAGGGTTTTACTTTATCTGGAAGATAAATAAATAAATGTAAACCAGTATTAATCTATTTTTCCAGTAGGCTTTTCAAAATATACAAAAACTGTTCAACAGTCATTAAGATATTCTGACTGCATTCTTCAGTTTATCTATTGACCTTTTGAACAGTTATCTCTATTTAGATTGAACCAACTTCAACTTGCCAGGACTTGAAGATTATAACCTCATTCAGCCATCTTATTTACCTTTTGGTAAAATATACAGGTTTTGTTTTTTTCCAACAAAATTTGTGATGATAATACAATTTAAAGTTATAAACATTCCAATGTTTTATACTGCATAGTTATTGTCACTTTAAAAGCTTATATTAATTGTTCTGTTTAAATTATATATAGTTTTTTGTTCTTATTTTTATTCAGACATCTTTAGAGAAATAAAATTAATGCACTTTCAATGTGATTTATTTCTATAACACATATATCGTAAAGATATATTTGCGGATTATGTGGCGATAATAAAAGGCCACTGTAATCCTTTTCATTTAACCCAGAGATCAAATTCCGTTGGTGAAATGTACAATTGTTAATGTGAAATGAATCAAACAAAACCTCATTTGATGAAATGTATTTTTTTTTTACCCAAACTTATAGCAGTAAAAGTTAAATATCCCCTAGACGAATGTCGAAAGACATTAAAATGATGTTATTTTGGTGAATTTTAGAAGGGAACTCTGTGCTTAGGATGATGTCATTTCATCGTTGTTATTAAAATTGTAAATTCATAATGCAATTGTAAGAAAATAGTTATGGATGAAATGACATTAAGTTCCATGAACAAATATCTTATTGAAATAAAGAATAGGCAGAATATGCAAGAAAAAATATCTTACATATGTTCGTGGTTCAGATCGAAATATCCATCCCCCGGGTACCTGGCCATGGATAGGGTACCCTCGGGACGGGACTTTCTGATCTGAATCATAACATATGACAGATATTAGTCCTACTGACAGATCTTGTTAAAATATAAATTTTCTTGGATTATGTGTCACAATTTGTTTTATTTGTATCATAGTTTGGAGACCTTTCTGTTGCAAATGTGTCAGGGTTAAATCGTATACATATACATGCACAGTGCGTTAACTGGAGTGCGGGTATTAGTTACCCGCACTCCAGAGCATGCCCATTGATTGGCTCATTTTTGCTGGGGTTTACATACTGTGACGGCAGAGAAAGGGAAAGCGACAGAAATGTCATATTCAGATGTTCGTTCACTGGTTCATTTTTGCCAGGGTTTCATATTGTGACAACAGGGAACGTGCTTTTATGTTTGACTATGATACAAAAGAGAAAGAACACCAAAACACTCGGCAATCTGATTAATACTCGGGGGCTACGCCCCCTCGTACAAATCAGATAGCCTCGTGTTTCGGTGCTCTTTCTATTACTTATATATGATAGTGTTTCTGACTTTTCCCATAGCAAGATGTACCACCAATTTACTAAATTATGACTTTCCCCAGAGCCTGATGTACAACCAAACCATTTTACTATTAAGTGAATTTAGGCAGCTCAAAATTGAATCACAACATTTATGTAAAATAACAGTGCTTATTGATATTCATTGTTGAATTATATAGTTAACTTTTGACGTTAAAGAAATATGTACTTAGCTACTTTATTTCAGTAGATTAAATGTCTAAATTTATATGCAGACGTTGAGAAGCATTAATTATTACTGATATAACCATTATAGTGTTGGATTACAAAGCCAAGTGTTTAATAACACTTGTATAGTTAATTCTTTTAGTCTAGCAGCAGATATTGTATACATGTATTTCTATGAGATTTTTAAGTGTCTTTTATGTGAAAAATTTTCAAACAAAACAAAGTTAATAGAATCATTGCACACCAGTGATGTTGTGCAACTTAACCATTTTGGTATATTAAATTGTTCAATAAAAATAGCAAGAAAGTTTGAGTTGGTGTAATTTTTTTTTTCCATTTATTTCTTTTTCAGCTTGACTTTTTGAAGAAAAATGGGGCTAGCCTACTCACAGATCTTTGAGATTATTATAGAAAGTCACTTTGTGATTCTTATAGGAGGTCACTTTTAAAGCACTGTCACTAATTTAATTTTCTACATTATCCAGGCTGAGCGTTGTTTTTCTACAAAGTATTGAGACTAGTTGAGTGTTCTGTCTTACTGACAGCTCTTGTTTGTCTTTCTGATACATGTACCATGGTAGCTCTAAGAAAGTTAACTTTTATCAAAATGCACTAGTGTAAATAGGATATAACTGTATAAAAGTATAAAACATTTTTTTATATTGAATGACTGTATTGAATTTCATCCTTGTAAACTGATTTTCATGATAACAAATTTACTTAATCCTTTTATTGGAGAGGAAAAAATATAAAAAAAGGAATATTTTAACTATGGAGTGATTTACTTAGTATGAAAATGTATTTAATGTTTGAAATTATTTTTTGTTCAATAGGATTGCAGTATTAAAAATGAATCATATTACATTTATTTTGGTAAATGAGCTTAAAAAGTCCCCAACTATTAATCAACTGTTTTTACAAGGTTGTTTTGCACATGGTATATGCACAGGCCAAGATGTTGTTAAGAGGCATGATTTACATATTTTATTGATTGCACATGTGCAGCAGCATGGAGATATTTCAATGCCAAATAAAAATTCTATCCAGAAAAAGACATAACAAATCAACATAACATTGGAAATAATTTTCAATTAATTAATGAAAAATATGAATATTACACATAGCTCTGAAATTAACATTAAAATGAAGGTCCAATACAAGTAATAAAGCTAGTTTTTTCGAAAAAATAAGTGCTTTTGATATAAGAACTGACAAATGCTGATTATGATTGTACGATTTTGACCATTTCACATTAGGTCTAAACATCTAGCATAATGACCATACTGCTCATAATCAATTAAATTTTGAAGATGCTTACTACTGAACACAAACCTATACATAAAAGGGTAAGAAATGATAACACAAGTTAGGAAAGATTTATTTACTTGAGGTGATCAGAACAACTTAAAGCTTTGAGAAAATACCAGATAATTCCTATTGTAAAAGGAATTCATTTTGATTTTACATTCCACTTTCAAAGTTCAATTTTTAGGCTCGTAAAACTTAATTGGACTGGCTAGTAGATTATGATAGCCAACCAAGTCTGAATGGCTTGTCAGATTTTCTGGCTCTAAATTCTTTGATAGCCAAGAGTTTCATTAATAAGTTAGCATGCAGTGGTGATAATTTTAGGTTGTGACCATTCTATTTTAAGACTTTTATATTTACAGTAAATAATATGACATAAATTATGTTTGCCTGTTGCTTGTTTTGTTTTCAAAATTGTCACTTTAACTATAGACTGGCCTGTATTTTATATTTTCAGGATGTTTTACAACAATTACTTATTGTCAAGTTGCCAGACTACAGACTGTTTTGCCGAGAACCAGAAAAAGGTATGTATTCAATAGCACAATCTTAGGGTTTCCCAGATTGTCAAAGGATGTCCATATCACATATATTGATCGTTTGGTTTGTTGTATGTTTTTGTGAACCATACTCAGAAGTAAGCAATTTACCCCATGGATTTAAAACATGCCTCGCCCCAGGGGTCACTTGTTTTCCTATAGTTGAAGTTATGACCATGTCTATCAGTAGTTGTCAGGGTAGCTGTGGTTTAGATGTCTGCCTCTAGGTTGTTGGTTTGAGCTCTACTTTGGTTCTTGTATGACACCAATATTAGTAAGTTTCATGTGAGAGTGGTTCACATAAGCTTCAAGCTTCTATTTTAATCAAACTAAAATAAATACATTTTGTTGAAACTGATAGTTCTAAGGTGAAGGATCTAGGGCCATTGTGGCTCTCTTAATAATTACTAAGCAGATATAAACAAAAGCATAGGTCACCAAGTTAAAAATTGAATTTGAGAAACAAATTTGTTGAAAGTATAACTTCTATTGTATCAGTACAGCTGTCTGCTTGAAACTATTCAGCCATGTCCAGCATTTTCCCATTTATGAGAAGTGGTTGTTACAAGTCTCAGTTAATTAACAAATGGTTTTCTGATAGAATGCATTTAGCAATAGTGTAAAGTTTCCACATTGTCCAGTATAATCAGGAATCAATATTCTCCTCTTAACTTGATCAATTAAAATATTGAACATGCTAGAACATGGGGCTATTTACAGTGTCTGATTTCTCCATCAGCTCTAATGTTGCAGATTACAATATAGCTTAGGGGTCATTTCTTGTAAAAATTCATGTATAAAGTCCTGCATAAACCATGAATATGTATAATGAATATGCCCCGAATTAAAAAATTGCCATGTTGGAGCAGACAGCAATTGGGCTAAGTGTAGACAAATAGGGGTAGACTTTTTCAGGAAAATATAGATTGTTTTGGTTTACTGAGATATACTGGAAGCCAGAGGTTTAGATAGTTGAATCTTACAAATCTTGCTTCTTTCTCAACTGCACAGCAGATTTTGATGAAACTCTAAATTCTCTTTTATGAAACTTAAAAGGTCCAAAGCATTGATAATTGGTATGTATGATTTTTAGTGGGCTTGTTAAACATTTATGTAAGTGGTTGACATAGGTTAACATAATTAGCCTTCTCTAGCAATGTTTGTCTTTACTTTTACTCAGCTAAGTGATACAGACCCTTTTGGATCTCTTGTTAAATATTGAAAGGAATTTTAATTGGCCTTACCATATTGTTTGATTAATTTAGTTCCTTAGATTATCTCAACATAATCTTGATCCATCTGTAAACATGCCTGACAAAGTTTTTACCTTGTAAAGTATTGATTATATCACATACAAGCAGACGTTTGAGGGACATATTGAACTGTTTGATGAATAATAGATAGAAATAATCATTGTCACAAACTACACACATGTCATTTGCTTTGTAAAATAGGTAGATAATGTTAGATTATGATTATACAACACTATTCAATATTCCTTATAAATATTATGTTGATTCTAGAACTTAAATGGACTCCACTGAGATTTATAGGAATGATGGGACTGGTGGAAATATTTTTATTTTTATACCATAGATATGATATTATTATGTCCATACCAATAACTTATGTGCAAATTATCTGATCATTAACTCATTCTGTTTTTCCTGAAGAATAATTTTTATTGTTTTAAAAGATATGAAAATGAAAGTTTTTAAATGCTTTTATCTCCAAGCAGGCTAGCAGTCACACTGAAAACCTTATAGTAATAATATATTTTTGGGTATACATGTATTTGTTTACTATCTTTTTCATATTTTACTGTTTTAAGTGCTTTAGTTGATTATGTACAGGGCCCAAAAACTGTCATTGTAGCTTTTGTAAATACATTTGTATTGTCTAGAGGGAATGCATATATGTATACAATTAGACAATCAGGAGGATTGTAATTCACCTGTCCACAAGATCATGCCCATATACTGTACATTACATGATACCTATTATAGTAATTGTCTCTGAGACTGTAAGACTGATTGCCACTAGAGACATTAAGTGGAGTAAGACACAGTCAGTGTGACAGCGATATGTGTCTCATTCTACTAAGATGATGAATTATTGATACATACAAAGGTTCCTCTGACAGACAGGCTGATAACTTATTAATACATTAGCATGTTATGATTATCTCAACAGCTCTTCTCAACTTGCCAGTCATCATAAAACAAAAGTATTTACTTGTTGCCAAAATTAATTAATCTGATGATTTGCTCATTGTAGTTATTAATGATTGTGTAAAACAGGAATAGCATGATGATGACTTGGTGTTGGAGTAATTGAGTTACTAATTAGTTAATGAAACCACCACTGTTGTTTCTGAGTGATTGTTTTTGTGAGAGGTGTGATTGGCTTTCAGAAAATGTGTTCCAGACATGATAACCAACAATGTTGTTGGTTATCAATATACCTTGCTCTTTGTTTAAAATAAGAATAAGATGTGTGGTGTTATTATAATGTATTCCAGTTGAATTTATATATTTTAGGTAGACACAAAATGGTCTACATTGAATGACCAACTCCCCAGTTTTAAAATGGGTGCAAATTGACATATTGACGATAATAATTTGAAAAAAAAGGGAATATAGTGTCTCAGCTTTGTAGGCCAGTGGTTATGATGGGTGACTTGTAATCATTTTCCTTTAAGACTTTAAATTCCTTAATCAGATTAGATATGTTATACTTTTTCCTAGACAGCAAAACAAAGAGTTTCTTCAGTTACAAGAACAGAAAAAAACAACACCTAAATGTTACTCACTGTCCGTCGTCCGTAAGGTCTTCCTCCACAAGTTGGAAAATCACCATATGACTTCTGCTGTGTCCATGGGCAGTAAAGCCAAACCTATCCCTTGGATGATTTGGATAAAACTGAATTAATAGGAATGTTCAGTCCATGTAGACCATATCCTCTGGTGAGGGATGAACGACCATCGTGGCTATCTGGTTGTTATTACTTAAAATTTTGTCATTTTCAGATGCAAGTTTCAATGAGCTCAAGAAAGCCTTGTTACTTATTCTTGGCTGTGCTGTACAGTGTGAGTTTAAAGAAAGATTCATCAAGGACATTATGGATCTGGAGGTCAATGTTAAAGAAAAAATTGCCGAGAGCATTCAACAGGTAAACTATCTTAGGCAAATTTATTGTATTCTAAAGTTTTTAACAGTAAAGTAGTCCTTATTGAGCTGTCTCAAAATTATAGTTTGCAATTTAAAGATATAGAAAAAATAAAATAAGTAGCTTTCACACTGGTTAGTCAATACAAACATGCTCAAAATTTACTATTCAGTTTCAGCTATAGTAACAAGCAAACTCCAGCTAATAAGGGGTAACTGATAATATAACCTGAAATATACTTACAACAGGAGGGGGGAACTGAAAAATTATTCACGTTAACAGGCATTCTTATGTTTGCTTTAATCTGTCCGTTAGACAATGTCTTTTTTTCTGTACAGTAGAGTATTGTTTGACACATGGTATTGAAAATAACTGTGAACTCGCACGATGATTACAGTTATTTTCCTTTTTAGCTCGACTATTCGATAAGAATAAGTAGAGCTATTGTAGTCACCCGAGCGTCGGCGTAACCACTTATGTTAAAGTTTTTGTAATAGTTCAAATATTTTCAAAGTCCATTGACATATGGCTTTGAAACTTTGCACACTTGTTCACCATCATTACCCCAACCTGTAAACAGGAGGAGGTAACTGTATCAAGCATTTTTTTTACTATCAAGCACTAACAATAGTCGAGTGTTGCTGTCCTACCGACAGCTCTTGTTTTTAACCTGAGTGGTCTACGCGAATTTATGATTTTTGGCAGTCACATCCGCAAATTCAAAATAGCGCAAATATTTGTATAGACCCCCAAAGTAGACCTTTCTGCGAAAATTTGCTTCCGAGAATTTAAATACACATACAGTAACCTGAACTATCTTTTCAAAAAGAGGGGTAACTGACAATATAACCGGAAATATCTTTACAACAAGAGGGGGAAATTGACAATATAACCTGAAATATCCTTTCAACAAGAGGGGTAACTGACAATATAACCTGAAATTTCCTTTCAAAAAGAGGGGGTAACTGTCAATATAACTTGAAATATCCTTACAACAAGAGGGGATTACTGACAATATAACCGGAAATATCCTTACAAGAGGGGTAACTGACAGTACAACCAGAAATACACTTACAACAAGAGGGGATTACTGACAATATAGCCTGAAATATCCTTACAACAACAGGGGGTAACTGGCAATATAACCTGAAATATCCTTACAACAAGAGGGGATAAATGACATTATAACCTGAAATATCCATTCAACAAGAGGGGTACTTACTGACAATATAACCTGAAATATCCTTTCAACAAGAGGGGTTAACTGACAATATAACTTGAAATATCCTTACAACTAGAGGGGTAACTGACATTATAACCTGAAATATCCATTCAACAAGAGGGGTTAACTGACAATATAACCTGAAATATCCTTTCAACAAGAGGGGTTAACTGACAATATAACTTGAAATATCCTTACAACTAGAGGGGTAACTGACAGTATAACTTGAAATATACACATGTACTTACAACTAGAGGGGTAACTGACAGTATAACTTGAAATATCCTTTCAACAAGAGGGGTTAACTGACAATATAACCTGAAATATACACATGTACTTACAACAAGAGGGGTTAACTGACAATATAACTTGAAATATCCTTTCAACAAGAGGGGGTAAATGACAATATAACCTGAAATATACACATGTTCTTACAACAAGAGGGGATTAACTGACAATATAACCTGATATATATATATTTACAACAAGAGGGGGATAACTGACAATATAACCTGAAATGGACAATTTAACCTGAAATCTACTTATAATGAAGGGGAAACAACTGACAAATTGTGTTAACCTGTCTGCAGACAAATAATTGTAAAATAAAACAGATCTGTTAGTTTAGTGGGTGTAGAAATGGTTAAATGTGCTTCAAAAGCAGATTATTGCAATTCTTTGAGATGAAAATTCTTGTTTACAAAGAAAGAACTTTAAAGATTAGACCATTATGATTTAAGTAAACTAAAGGGTATATAACAGGAACTTTATGAAAAGAACTACATATTTGTACAGGCTATACAATAGTTCAGAATATCTTCAAAGATTAAATGACAAAGGATTTGAAAGATTTATATCTTTATGTTTTCAATTGTGATAATTAAAGAGTATTTAATATTCATTGATAGTTGTGTAGTAGAATGTTTCCAAATAAATTCTGATTTACAAAAGTTAATGTGAAAGGGGTTTATCTATCAAATAAAATCATAGCACATGCCATGTTTTTGCTCCTAATCATTTCTCATGTTCAGTTCTGTAATAATCAGTTAAATAATACATTGTGAAGATGCTCAATATTTTTGTAATCTGCTTTAAACAGATTATTGGCATTTGAACATCTTTCCATTGAAATAATAAACACAAATTTATGAAATAGTTTAGTACTTCAAATGAATGCAAATTTGCAAGTTCTTGTAATTTCAATCAAATGAAAATGGATTTTTGTCTTTAATTGCTATTTGAAGAGACACTATGGAGATGTGATCGACTAAATTAAAATCTGGAAATACATGCTATAGAATTAAATGTGTTTTATATTTGGAATAATTTTTTTTCAATATCAGATTATCAACTAATACTATCATGAAAAATGTCATAAAAATTGTTGTTATAATAGGGAAAGCTATCCTGCTAACCTGGGCGTCAGCATCTGTGTCACACTTTTGTTTTTTTGTTTTTTGTACCACCCTACTTATTTCCTGTACCCAATGAGGTATTCCTTGGAAACTTTGAAAATAAATTGCTTATTAAGTTGAATGATTTCATATCTATCAAAGATTTCAACATGAAACATGGAATACTTGATTATTATTATGTCAATGCACAGTGCATTATCATTAACGCAATATTGTTTAGAGTAATGGCCCTTTATAGCTAGACGTTTTTGAAGAGATTTACTTAATTGTAAAGATTTACTTAATTGTAATAACTTTGGTATTTAATTACAGATTTGATTTATATTTGGACAAAAGATCACATATTACTAAATCGACATGTTGAATTATTGTGAAATGACTTTGACCTTTAATTGACCCTCACCGTCGAGGTCTAATTATTGAAATTTGCTTAATTTATGATTATATTTTTATTTTTTATGGATTTTATTTATTTTTGGACAAAACAGCACTTACGACAAAACTGACATGGTGATTAAATCAAATTTGACCTTGATCTTTGAATCAAGGTCAAATAAGACATTTGAATTTTGTTTGTTACAAAAAATTGTGTTTTGTTGAAATACTCTTTACTATTATATTCTTACTCTGATGTGTTTGACTTTAGTAATAAGAAAATGTCGAGTGTGGCCCTTGCTAGGTGGTGGCTCTTAATTTGAATATTGATGAAAATTGGTAACTGATATTTGTTGCCCTTAGAAGATGAGCATTAACACCGGGTTTGGTGCTCTTGCTTTCTTTCTTTTCAGAAATAGTAACATGTTTTTGTATATCTAGGTGATAAATAGTTTTCTTGTTATATTATAGATAACAGACGACACATTGTCTATCATACCCACAGATTGTACAGACATAGATAAACTGTTTGGACATCTGCAACATCTGATTAAAGAGAGAGACAACAATGTTGAGGTAGGCTAACTTTTTTTTGAGAAAAAAAGAGACAGTATTATATTAACAACAGATTTCTTGGAAAGCTGTATCCATTATGGTTCAGTTTATTGAATGAAATTGAACTGTTGTAGAATTATTATACCCCCACACAACAAAGTTGTAAGGGGGGTATACTGGAATCAGCTTGTTCGCCGGCTGTCCGGCCGTCCGTCGGTTTTTTCTTGTCCGCCCAATAACTTAAGATTCCTTTGACCCTTAGTCTTCATATTTGGCATGGAGGTTAGTCATGATTAGTAGATGACCCCTATTGATTTTGAGGTCACTAGGTCAAAGGTCAAGGTCACAGGGGCCTTGACTTCAAAAAGCTTGTCCGCCCAATAACGTAAGATTCCTTTGACCTACAGTCGTCATATTTGGCATGGAGGTTAGTCATGATAAGTAGATGACCCCTATTGATTTTGAGGTCACTAGGTCAAAGGTCAAGGTCACAGGGGCCTTGACTTCAAAAAGCTTGTCCGCCCAATAACTTAAGATTCCTTTGACCCACAGTCTTCATATTTGGCATGGAGGTAAGTCATGATTAGTAGATGACCCCTATTGATTTTGAGGTCAAGGTCACAAGGGCCTTGACTTCAAAAAGCTTGTCCACCCAATAACTTAAGATTCCTTTGACCCACAGTCTTCATTTTTGGCATGGAGGCAAGTCATGATTAGTAGATGACCCCTATTGACTTTGAGGTCACCAGGTCAAAGGTCAAGGTCACAGGGGCTTTGACTTCAAAAAGCTTGTCCGCCCAATAACTTAAGATTCCTTTGACCCACAGTCTTCATATTTGGCATGGAGGCTAGTCATGATAAGTAGATGACCCCTATTGACTTTGAGGTCACCAGGTCAAAGGACAAGGTCACAGGGGCCTTGACTTCAAAAAGCTTGTCCGCCCAATAACTTAAGATTCCTTTGACCCACAGTCTTCATATTTGGCATGGAGGTTAGTCATGATTAGTAGATGACCCCTATTGATTTTGAGGTCACTGGGTCAAAGGTCAAGGTCACAGGGACTATGACTTCCAAAGTTTGTCTGCCCAATAACTTTAGATTCCTTTGACCCAAAGTCTTCATATTTGGCATGGATGTTGATCATGATTAGTAGAAGACCCCTTTTGATTTTGAGGTCACTGGATCAAAGGTCAAGGTCTTAGGGACTTTGACTTCAAAAAGTTTGTCCACCCATTAACTTAAGATTCCTTTGACCCACAGTCTTCATATTTGGCATGGATGTTGATCATGACTATAAGGTGACCCCTATTGATTTTGTGGTCACTGGGTCAAAGGTCAAGGTCACAGGGACCTTGACAAAAAAAAGCTTTTCTTCTTAATTGCTAGAGAATGTCCTGTCCGCAATGTATTGATTTTTACATTTTCACATTTGAAGCATGTAGAATACATAACTTAGCAATGCACTGGCTTAGTAACCTCAGATTTGGCAGGGAGGTTGTCCTTGAGCTCTAAATGGCCACTGTTGATTCTGACAAAGTGGTATGCGGGGGTATTCACGCCATGATAGTGGCAGTTCTAGTTTGTATTATACCCCCTTTTATAAGGAGATTTATTGCTTGGCAGGTCATGTCCTTCCCTCTGTCTATGGACCAGACAGAGTCTGTCCAAGAAAAAGAGAATGCTCAGAAAAATTAGATATTGTGATAGATTATTACTAGTAGATGACCCTTCTCTAAATATCAAAGGTCAAGGTCACTAACTGACCCACTAAAAGCTTGTGTAGCCAATAATGAGAGATGGCTTTGGCCTGAAGTCCTTGATTTGCGAGAAGTTTTTGCCTACAATAGAAAGGTACCTAACATTTGTAGAGGTGTACTTATTTTTATAGAAGTGTACTTGTTTGTGTAGGGTATTACAGAAACTTGATTATTTCAGATGATGTGCGACCTTACCCAGGAGCGAGATTTCTACAAGGCAAAGTGTGAGGGAAAGACTTATCTGTCAACACCATCCAATAGTCCAGATAAACAGAATGATTTGATTGAACTAGCCGAGTGTAAATCTCAAATCAGGAAGCTAAAACAAGAACTGTATGTATATATATCATAAATCATTAGTTTACCTGAACACAGATTGCTTAATGACTCTCAGATGTTGTATGTTGTCCTTAATTGTTTTCAATGACAACTCCATCAATAATCCACATGACCTATGGATAAATTCTTTAAATTAATAACATTAAACTTTTAAAAAAGAGCGCGGCAGTCTTTTTATACCCCCGCACAACAAAGTTGTAAGGGGGGTATACTGGAATCAGCTTGTCCGTCCGGCCGTCGTGCGTCCGTCGGTTTTTTCTTGTCCGCCTAATAACTTAAGATTCCTTTGACCCACAGTCTCCATATTTGGCATGGAGGTTAGTCATGATTAGTAGATGACCCCTATTGAATGTCAGAGGTCAAGGTCACAGGGGCCTTGACTTCAAAAAGCTTGTCCGCCCAATATTTTAAGATTCCTTTAACCCACAGTCTTCATATTTGACATGGAGGTTAGTCATGATTAGTAGATGACCCCTATTGATTTTGAGGTCACACGGTCAATGGTCAAGGTCACAGGGGCCTTGACTTCAAAAAGCTTGTCCGCCCAATAACTTAAGATTTCTTTGACCCACGGTCTTCATATTTAGCATGGAGGTGAGTCATGATTAGTAGATGACCCCTATTGATTTTGAGGTCACTGGGTCAAAGGTCAAGGTCACAGGGGCCTTGACTATAAAAAGCTTGTCTGCCCAATAACTTAAGATTCCTTTGACCCACAGTCTTCATATTTGGCATGGAGGTGAGTCATGATTAGTAGATGACCCCTATTGATTTTGAGGTCACTGGGTCAAAGGTCAAGGTCACAGGGGCCTTGACTATAAAAAGCTTGCCCGCCCAATTACTTAAGATTTCTTTGACCCACAGTCTTCATATTTAGCATGGAGGTGAGTTATAATTAGTAGATGACCCCTTTTGATTTTGAGGTCACTGGGTCAAAGGTCAAGGTCACAGGGACTTAGACTTCAAAAAGTTTGTCCGCCCAATTACTTAAGAAACATTTGACCCACAGTCTTCATATTTGGCATGGAGGTTAGTCATGATTAGTAGATGACCACTATTGATTTTTAGGACACTGGGTCAAAGGTCAAGGTCACAGGGGCCTTGACTCAAAAAGCTTGTCCGCCCGATAACTTAAGATTCCTTTGACCCACAGTATTCATATTTGGCATGGAGGTTAGTCATGATTAGTAGGTGACCCCTATTGATTTTAAGGTCACTGGTTCAAAGGTCAAGGTCACATGGACTTTGACTTCAAAAAGTTTGTCTGCCAATTAACTTAAGATTCCTTTGACCCAAAGTCTTCATATTTGGCATGGAGGTTGATCATGACCATAAGGTGACCCCTATTGATTTTGAGGTCACTGGGTCAAAGGTCAAGGTCACAGGGACCTTGACTAAAAAAAACTTTTCCCCTCTATTGCTTAAGAATGCCTCTCTGCAGTGTATTGATTTTGACATTTTCATATTGAAGCATGTAGAATACTTAACTTAGCAATGCACTGGCTTAGTAACCTCAGATTTGGCAGTGAGGTTGTCCTTGAGCTCTAAATGGCCACTGTTGATTCTGACAAAGTGGTATGCGGGGGTATTCACGCCATGACAGTGGCAGTTCTAGTTATAATTTAGTTAGATTTTATATTTTATCCTAAACATTTTTCATTATAAATTATTTGTCAGTCACGATTATAATAGTCAATCTCTTGAAATATATTATTATTCAACTCAACTTGACAGTGAAAAAAGAGCATAATGTCACTTCACAGTAATTTACATCATGTAAATCAAACTTTCCATGGTTATATACAAAAGGTCGAGATTCTATGGAAGTATGTTTAACAAGGTAAATATTTGCAGTCTTCTTTAGTTTAAAGAAAGTGCTTAACAGTATTTAGGGTAAGACAAAAAAGAAAAGCGACACTAAACACTGTATGTTAATATGAAATATTTGAAATGATTACAGAGATGAGAAACAAGAACAGTTGTCAGACAGTAGAGATGAATGTGAGGAATATAAAACCAAAATGACCAAACTACGCAAAGAGGTTATCTATACATTTTGTTTATTTACAGACTTACAATTATATTGTAGTTATATAAACCAGATTGAAGTAACTTTATTCTCACAGCTGTGTATCAAATCCAATCAGGGACTTTAGGAAGGTTGTGGTTCTACTTGGGGTGTCTGATTATGTCTGAATTCATAAAGGGGCACCTAAGGTCTTCCTGTACCAGTAAAGCTAGATAGTTGCTGTATTACCTTAACATTGTTGGATTGACTTAACAATTTGTAAGTTGGTTTTAAAGTTTTAATATCAGGTGGCAAAGTAAGCTGCAGGGGCTCTGTTTGTTTTTATGCCCAAGCGATAATAATAACAAGGGGGCAAGTAGTTTTACCGCAATCCATCTTTATATGTATGTTTGCTTGTGTTCGAAAACCTTGTCCAGTCTATAACTCTCGTTATGAAGGAACAGATTTTGAAATAATTTGGTAAAAATGTGAAGCATGATGAGACTGTGTCATGCGCAAGACTTCTGGTTCCAAGGACAAGGTCACACTAAGAGGTCAGCATTAAAAAAATCATGTCTGGTCCATAACTCATGCATCAAGAGATTTTGAAGTCAGTTACAATGTATTATCAACAGCCATCTGTTCTCTTACAGTAAAAGATCTTTTATTGTAAAAGTAATTTGTGAAACTATGCTGTCCGGTCATAACATTTGTATTCATACTATGCCAGGTCTAACATATATAGTGAGAGCATCTGTGTCTTTAAGATGCATTGCTAGTTTTATTTGAAATCGATGCAAAAATAAATGATTTTTCTTTGAGTCTTTCATGAATTTATTGCCTCTAGCAAATATATTTCCTTGCAACTATATACCTTGTATTGTATTTTTGTTGAGGCATTTTCGACAAGCAGTGTCATTATTTTCTTAGTCAAAATATGCTATAAAAGTACTTTTGTAGAGTGTAAATTAATAATATTATTTACAGAATGTAGAGTTACTGAAAGATGCTGGATCAGCCAAGGTCCTGAGAGATGAGCTGGATATACTAAGAGAAAAGGTTAGAAAAAATTGTATAAACTTTATTACTTCATTGTAGGACAGTTGTGTAGTAAGAAATTGACATATTTTCTGAATGTCTCAATTTTTAACATAGCTTTTAAGATGTTCACCTAGATGATGATATCTGGCTATCTTATATTTTCATGTTCAAGTTCTTGTTAGAGCTCTCCATTTTCAAGCTAGCTTTTATGATGTTCACATCATTTTTAGCTTGACTATTTGTTGGTCTATCTTACTCACCCATGCAGCAGTATAGCACTTTGGTTAAAGTTTTTACATAACTTCACATTTGATCAATCACTGAATGTATTTGCTTGAAACTTCATGCATATTGTAGAGATCATAAAACAAGGTTGGTATCCATGGCCTAAAACAGGCATGAATTTTGAATAAAAAATTATTGCCTTTATTTACTTAGAAAAGTCCAAAATCAATCTTCAGAACTAAAAAGAGCATTCACTTGAAACCCTACACATGTCTTGTAGGGATCATAATAACAGGCCACATTGCAAGGTTCATAACTCTAGCGTGGGTTTGAAGTGAAAAGGCCTTTCTGAATGTTAGCATAAATTTCAAGTAAATACATGTAGGCCTTAGTGAACTTTTAGAAACTGTATTAGATAATTTGTATGAAATCTTCCCTTATGGTGAATATCTTCAACATTCAGGCCAGTGTTTTACTATCAAACATTAGAATAGTCAAGCTTGCTGCCCACTGGCAGCTCTGTTACCTGCTATTCTACTCTGGTTAGTGATAAATGACCACTTGTTAAATGTATCTGAAGGGACTTCATTATGTACCAAACTTAAATGATTACCCCTTAATTGATTGAAATCCCACCAAGGATGTTTAATTGATTCATGTAAGAAGGTTTTATAGCTAGCAAACAAAAGGTTGGTGGTTCTGTTCAGGTACCTGCTCATAATTATAGCATCTTTGTAAAAATTTGAATACAGTAAAAATATAGCTAAATGATATTGATAAAGTAATGACAATGTCTAAATTGTTAACAATTATATTTGAAAAAATGTACATATTAACACTGAAGAAATATTGTATTGACCATAATTCTATATGTAGATGATCAAAGTTAACAACTATGAGGCAGAGATCCTGAAATACAAGGAAAGACTGAACGAAATGGAATTCTACAAGATCAGGGTGGAGGTAAAGTTATTTGTTGTAATTTGCACAATACTGTTACAATTTTCAGAAACTTTCTATTCATTTTATATGCCGGAAGAAATTTTATGGTATGACATAATCCCTCTGTCTGTCTGTCAAAGATAAAAAGTTGGACCGGAACAATAGGTAACTGACTTGCTCATGGATGTTATTCATTCCGTGGCTATTTTTCTTTATGTGGCTAAACAACAAAGGAAAGGAAAATGGAGTAGCTTTACGATAACTGTCTTGTTAAAATTTTTGTCTGTCAGTCCGTCTGTAAACAATTGGTTTCCACAGAATAATTTTTGAAGGATTTCATTGATTGTGTTTACATTTGGTATGTAAGTATGTTATATCAAAACACAGGTCAAGTTCACTGCAATTAACTCATTTTTATTGAGCCCGGTTGCGGAGAGCTTGACATAATTGTCACAATGGCAGTTCCGTGTATGCACATGCGTACATCTGTCCATGCAGATTATTCTTGCCCGGGTTGTAACTCTGTTATTAGTAGGCAGAATTTCAAATAACATAGCACAAAACAGCGTGACCTGTGCAAGAACCGTGAAGCTAGGTCAAAGGTCAAGGTCAAACTTTAAGGTCAAATGCAAAAGAAATAAAGATCTCAAACAGCTTGTCCGCACCATTACACTATCACTAGCTGGTGGAATTTCAAATAACCTGGCACAAATGTTCAACATCAGGTGATGGCATGTTCGCGCGCAAGAACCGTTTCAAAAGGTCAAAGTTCAAGGTTTGAAGTGACAGCGGGCTCGACATGTTGCCCTTGGGCATCTAGTTGATAGATTATGCCCCTTTTAAAATTTCCGATGAAGTTATCAGTTTGCAAAGGATAACTTTAGAAGGATTTCAATTATTATGTTAATATTTGACATGTTATAAATATTATAATATGTTATATCAAAACACAGGTCAAGTTTGATTCTTATTGCAATCAATTTATTACTGATACATTGATACATTTATTTTCCTTTTAAGGAAATTTTATGTGAAATAATTGGTTTCAGCAGAATATCCTCTTAAGGATTTCAGTTTTGTAATATCAAAACACAGGTCAAGTTCCCTTTTCTTTACAATCAACTCATTACTTATAGAGTCATGCCCCTTTTTATTTTAAAGTGAAATTATAGGTTTCTGCAGGGTAATATTTAAAGGATTCAAAACACAAATTTTGTGTGATTTTCTTTGATTTTCTTTGAAATCAAATTGTTATTATTGGTTTCAACATAATAACTTTTAACTTGAAACAAATGTCAAGTTTGATTTTCTCTGCAATCAAATAATTACCACCTTGATTTGATTGATTTCTTTTGCAAGTTGTTATACTCAATTATCTTTTGTTAACCAATATGTCAACTTGTTACCTAGAAAAAAATTAGACTGTATATTTTTCTTTTACATTTGATATAAAGTTTTCATAGCAAATTACAACAATAAATTTGCTATCTTTGTTCAAGGCATATTTTTGTCCATGATACCTTCTTGCAAATTTGCCATAGCGCATATATTGCCCTGCCTCAATGGAGCTCTTGTTTATATATTCAAGGGCTGAACAAACAAAAAAACAGTACAAACATATAAACTCATTCGGTTTAAACTTCCTGGGGGGTCACTCAGTTTCAATAGACTTATATAGAATTTTTAACATTGAGTGATAATGATAATACAATAATTGCTTTGGTCTTGTATCAGTTTTTTTAATGAAGGGGGAGTAATTCAATAATGCTTATTTCAAAGAAGTGAATCCAGTATTTTTGTGTGCTTGTTGCAGGAACTGCGTGAGGACTACGCAATATTGTTAGAAAATAAAACAATTCTCGAGGAGCAGTTGACAAGCTCACATAAACGTATAGAAACTGTTGTTGGACTGGAGAAAGAGATCTACAGATATAAAGAACAGATAGAGGAAATGTCTACTGTATGTATACTATATTATATAGAAAATGTCAGATTTCACATATTTATGTTTGGAATATGGATCATCTACAACATAATATGCCAGTGATTTTCCTTCTTATATAACATATTCAGATAAAAGGCCTCTTCCCAATTGAAAATTTCTTTAAAATCATGCAGTTTTCCCAAAAATACGAACTTAAACCTGTTTTTATTTGTTTGGGTCATCAGACCAAACAAATAATGGTAGCGAATTTTCAGACCCTGTTGCTGTTAATTGCAAATGCCGAAAGTAGTCCGCTTTTTTGAAGCTGTTACTTCCCTTTATATGTACACTAATGCCGAAAATTCAGGGGAGATCACTGCGTAAAGATTGTTAAATGACAGGCGCATTAATTTTCAAGCAAAATAGTTATCGAATGGTCGAAGATTTCTGATATTGTTTTATTCTATATACATATACATGCTTATAGTAAGCTCCATGATTATTAACATCTGTGTTAAACAACAGGTTTAGCGAGTTACAAACCCTAATTTAGAATAATATGGTTTTCTTCAGGCCATTAACATATGACTTCACCGTGGCCGAGGAGTTTGCACGCTCGCTTAGAAATCGAGAGGTCTGGAATTTAAATCCCAGTTGAGGCAACTCATTTTTTTAAAATTGTTTAAGTCAAATAAACATTGATTTGAATATCAGTGTTGCAATTAGTCTTATAGCCAATTTACTACAGTTAAAACACTGGAAAGCATTGGTGGCACTATACAGAAACAAATTGGTTTATAATCTCACAACCTTCACCTTTATGACATTCTGAGACCCAAACAAATTCAGCGCCTTCTGTGCTTTGATTTTACTTCCGAATTAGCAATTTTAGCGATAATTTTTCCAAAATCAAATGGCTAAGACCTCTTCCCAATTAAGCGAAAAAAATCACCTATGCACATTTTACCTGTGCTATGTTACTTCATAAAATTTAATACTGTTTTATTTTACTGCCATTAATGTCTGATTAAATATAAATGGTGTGGGGAATAATGCTATATTTCTTGTTTTTTTATTAAAGGGACTTCACTGAGGTTTTTTGACATGATGGGACTGAACATATATTTTCCAGATAAATGTACCATTTGATGTAGGTTTAGACCACAAATCTTTGTGCAAACTTTCAGATCATTTGCGCACTTCGTTTTTCCAGAATAATTATTCAAATTGTAAAAAAATGACCCAAAATGAAAAGCGTTTAAATGCTTTTCACTCAAATTAGGCTAAGAAAAGCATAAAACTACGATTTTCAATCTATTTTAAAGTATATTTCTTAACTATCTTTGCATATATTTCTGTTTAAAGTGCCCCAGTTCATTTATGTAAGAAATTCTAATGTTATGTTTTTAGGCTTTTAAACCTCAGTGGAGTCCCTTTAAATTCAATCAACATCTAATAAATCAATCTCTGTCTCATTACATTGTAAAATGTCTAACTTTTTAATTAGAATAATATAATATGTTCAACAAATTTAGTTTGTACCACAATAAGACAATATTCTGCAATCTTAAATAAAATTACCACCATAACAGAATTGCTGAAAATGGCTGATATAAAACAACTTGAATGAGTATAGAACAAGGTTCTGTTGGACATTTCCGTTGTGCGGCCTAGTGTAATTAACACAGAGAAAATGTAATATTTATATAGTATTTTTAAAAGTTATAAACACAGTAATGTATGAAGGATACACACCTTGTTACTACCAGTATTAATATCAGGTAATTTGTAGGAGCGGGATGCTGACCGTGAGCGTATCAAAAGTCTTGTAGAGGAGAACGCCCAGTTACAGTTTCAAAAGAAAGTCAGTATGAATGAGAGCTCAAGTCTTGAACAAGAAATGCAAGCAGCCAAAAATAAAATTGCTGGTATGTTTAGATTATTGAGTGGCATACAGAAGATATCCAGCATGCATGTAAAATATTAATAGTTCTACCAAGTTGTCATTTTATGCCTAAGTTACATATTGATGGTTCTTGATGTGCAAAAGATAAATATTCATGGTTCTACCAAGTTGACACTTTGTTTCTAAATTTATATTAATGTGCATTTGCTGTTTTTCATACCAATAAAAACTGAAAAGTCTGCATAACAATGTTGAAAAGTATTTCACTAAATTTTGCGTGATTTGAAAGAATGTGTATTTTTAATTGAATATCTAAAGAAAAGTGGGGCTTTCATACATCCTTGGAGTCTATATCATCAAAAGTCTTTGTTAAAGTTTTGTGAGGAACTTAAGGTTTCATCAAGTTATTCACTTGAAACTTCATTCATCTATTCCAGATGATAATTGTAGGTTAACTATCCAGGACCAATTTATCAAATATTTCATGCAAGTTCAATCTATATAACCACTGAAGGTATTCTTCTGAAGCTTCAAACACATCATCTGTTTTATTAATTGTATGTTACAGATAAAGACCTATAAATGTTTCTGTATTATCTACTTGTCTTTTTGTAATTCTTGTTAATGTATGTTATTTTGTACATTAAATAGGAGTTGGAGGAGCTATATCTGATCAGATAAAAGAGACAACAAATTCCAAAATTCTACGTCTTGAACTTGAGAATCAACAAATGATGAGGAAAATAGAGGCTATGAAGGAAAGCTCGTTGATTGATAATGCATCTATGAAGTTAAAATTGGAAAAAGAAAACCAGAGACTATTAAAGGAGGTTGTGAAAGTACAACAGGAGAAGAAAGAAATGGTTGAAAAATGTTTTGATTTTGAGGAAAAAACTTGCGAACTGATGCGAGAAAAGGAGCAGTTGGTTTCAAAATTGGAAGATACCAAAGAAAGTGCTGAGAGGCAAATAAGAGAACTGGAACAACAGAAAAGTGATTTAAGTCAAACAATGGATGTAATACGGAATAGAAATGAGCAAACTAATGATACTAAGTTGAAAGATTTAGAAAGAGAGAATAAAAAATTGCATGATTCATTAACAGCTAATAATCAAAAGCTGACAAAGCTGGAATTTGATAATAGGAAAACTTATAGTAGAACACAAGAAAATCTAAAAAAATTAACAGAAGTGGAAATTGATAAAGAAAACTTAGAAAGAGAAAATTTAGAGTTAAAACGAAGACTACAAGCTCAGGAATTAACTCATGATAAAGTAAATAAACTTGAGCAAAATCTTTCAGATGTTCAGATGGAAAATCAGGGATTACAAAAGAAAATACAAAACTTTAAAAACCTTCTCCAAGAGAAAGAAAAAATTGAACAGAAAAATATTGATTTGACTGTAGAAAATCAAAAACTTCAAAGGGTATCGGATAATTTCAAACATTTGTCACATAAAGTACCAGAACTTGAAAATGAAGTAAGTTTATTGAAGAGGGAGTTGCAGCAACAGCAAAGAGTGCTGGAGACTAAGAAAACACAGGGTGATAAACTTGAAAAAATGGAGCTAGACCTTATGACATTAGATAATGAAAATATGAAGCTTCAGAGACAGTTAGAGATCACAACTAACAGAATGCAGCAGTTAGAAAAAGATAATACAGATTTAGAAATGGAACTTGATAAATTGCAGGTGTCATCAAAATATTCACATAATAGGTTGTCAGAACTTGAAAAGTTGAACTTGGAATTAGAAAAAGAGTGCATGAAATGTCAGAAGGAAAATACACAGCTAAGTAAGGAAAACAAAAGCAATAAAGTGATTTTAGAAACCAGACAAACTGCTCTAGATGATTTAAATACTAAATATTCCATGTTAGAATTAAGTTATAAGGAGTTAAATAGAACAGTTGAAAGGGAGAAAGATTCAGGTTTTCAAAGTAAAGAATCTGAAAAGGAACAAAAGAAATTGATACAAAACTTGCAGACGGAAAAACAGACAGTAGCAACACTGAGAAGAGTAAGTTACGTGGATTTTCAGTAAAATTTTTAAATACAATCTGTTCAATTAAAACTAAATGCTTTTCTAAGCTCTCTTCATTCAAGCGTCCTCTGAAAGTAGTGTTTTTTTGTTGTTGTTTTTTTAATGGGGGGTGTAGTTTTTTATTTTGTAAAATTAATAATGTGATTTTGCATACAGTAATGTCTTATTATCCCCCGCCGATGAAATCGGGAGGGGGATATTGTTTTGGCTTTGTCCGTCCGTCCTTCAATCCGTTCGGCCGTATTTTGTTTCCGCGCTAGTTCTCTGCAACTACTGGCTGGAATTCAATGAAACTATGGGAATCATCAATATCAAGAGGAGATGTGCATATCGTCGGCTTGTTCCAGTCAGACCTTTTAACTCAGAGTTATGGCCCTTGATTAGTTATGCAGTATGCATATAGAGCAATAATCATTTCCGCGCTTCTTCTCTGCAACTACTGGCTGGAATTCAACAAAATTTTATGGGAACCTTCAATACCAAGATGAGATGAGCATATCTTCGCATTGTTCCTGTCAGACACTTTAACTCAAAGTTATAGCCCTTGATTAGTTATGCATTATGCATATGGGGCAAACTTTATGGAACCTTCAATACCAAGAGGAGATGAGCATATCATTGCCTTGTTCTGGTCAGACACTAACTCAGAGTTATGGCCCTTGATTAGTTATGAAGTATGCATATAGAGCAATAATTGTTTCCACGCTACTTCTCTGCAACTACTGGCTGGAATTCAATTAAACTTTATGGAAACCATTAATACCAAGATGAGATGTGCATAGTATGTTGCCTTGTTCAGACCAGACCCTTCATTACAGAGTTATTGCCCTTGATTAGTTATGTAGTATGCATATAGAGCAATATTGCTATTTCTTTGCAACTGCTGTATTGATTCAACAAATCTTTATGGGAACCATAGATACAAAAAGGCAATTTACATCTCATTGCCATGTCCAGATATTACTATTTAACACCCGAGTTAAGGCTCTGTTATTGCCTTGAATATTTATTATGTACAAAGAATATTACTGTTTATGCCATGATAAATATATAAATAAAGCCTTATGTCTTCAGTTGTTGCGTTAGTAATAACCAGTACTCGGCGGGGGATATAAATTCAACGAATTTGCTTGTTGAAGTTTAGTATAGTATTTAATTTATTGATTTCTATGCTTACTAAAGAGCATATAGTCACACCTTGTCTGTCTGTCTGTCCATCCGTCATTCATTCTGCAGTCAGCTTGTCTTGCTTTCACAAGTCAAACTGCTGGCTGGATTTCAATTTAACTTCACAGGAGTGTTCAGTACCATCCCTACTTGTATTTGGGAGACAAATGCTTTATGATAATAACATTCCTAAGGTGAATTTATCTATAACACAGTAAATATCACAAGGAGTCTAATTTATATGGAGTAAATATCTTCACATTTCCCATGCTTTCATAACGTGCCGATTAATAAAGCACAGAATACAATAAAGTAAGTAATTAAAGTCGGAAAAATTTACATTATAAACTGTTAAACATGAAAATTACAAACTGTGAAACGGATGCCCTATTGATCAACTATACCCCAAACAAACATATGAACACTTGGTCAAGTGAAGATCAAGGGTTTAATTTACAATCTTAATTGAAATTTGAAAGTAAAAAAAAAAAATTAAAAAACATTTCTTTTCTTTTTTATACCCCCAAAAACGAAGTTTGGGGGGGTATATAGGAGTCACCCGGTGGTCGGTTGGTCGGTCGGGCGGTCGGTCGGTCGGTCGGTCGGTCCAGACGTCCGTTGCATTTTCCTTGTCCGGACCATAACTTGAAGACTAATGGTTGGAATTCAATATAACTACATACAATGGTCAAGCACATGGAGAGGAAGTGCAGTGCACAAGAACCATAACTCTATCTTGACTAATTACAGAGTTATTGCCCTTTGTTACTTTTCCTTGTCTGGGGCATAACTTGAAAACTACTGGTTGGAATTCAAAACAACTTCATACAATTGTCAAACACAATAAGGGGAAGTGCAGTGCACAAGAACCATAACTCTATCTAAAGTAATTACAGAGTTATTGCCCTTTGTTACTTTTCCATTGCTTTCTTTTGTCCGGACCATAACTTGAAGACTAATGGTTGGAATTCAATATAACTTCATACAATGGTCAAGCACATTGAGAGGAAGTGCAGTGCACAAGAACCATAACTCTATCTTGACTAATTACAGAGTTATTGCCCTTTGTTACTTTTCCTTGTCCGGGGCATAACTTGAACACTACTGGTTGGAATTCAAAACAACTTCATACAATTGTCAAACACAATAAGGGGAAGTGCAGTGCACAAGAACCATAACTCTATCTAAAGTAATTACAGAGTTATTGCCCTTTGTTACTTTTCCATTGCTTTCTTTTGTCCGGACCATAACTTGAAGACTAATGGTTGGAATTCAATATAACTACATACAATGGTCAAGCACATTGAGAGGAAGTGCAGTGCACAAGAACCATAACTCTGTCTTGACTAATTACAGAGTTACTGCCCTTTGTTACTTTTCCATTGCTTTTTTTTGTCCGGAGCATAACTTGAAGACTAATGGTTGGAATTCAATATAACTTCATACAATGGTCAAGCACATTGAGAGGAAGTGCAGTGCACAAGAACCATAACTCCATCTTGACAAATTACAGAGTTATTGCCCTTTGTTACTTTTCCTTGTCCAGAGCATAACTTGAAAACTACTGTTTGGAATTCAATACAACTTCATACAGTTGTCAAGGACATTAAAAGGAAGTGCAGTGCATAAGAGCCATAACTCCATTTTGACAAAATACAGAGTTACTGCCCTTTGATACTTTTCCTTGTCTGGAGCATAACTTAAAATGTACTGGTTGAAATTCAAAACAACTTCATACAATGGTCAAGCACATAAAGAGGGAGGAAGTGCAGTGCACAAGAACTATAACTCCATCTTCAGTATTTATAGAGTTATTGCCCTTTGTTCCTTTTCTTTGTATTTCTGGACTTGTTACAGAGTTATTCAATAAAACTTCTTCAATGGTCAACCACATTGAAAGGAAATGCAATATACAAGAACCACAACTATCTTTAATTGCCCACAACCATAACTCTATATTTCAATTCTTTTACAAGGTATTCTGTTACTAGTAACATCCTCATTTCCGAAGCAGTCTTGTGGGGGTATTTATCACATTTAGTGATAGTTCTAGTTTAATATTCATACCGGTATTAGTTTTTCAATGTTCGAATATTCAGTAATGTTTCGGATATTCAAATATAATTCCCGGCCCTAATATTTACGGATTTGATTTTCTGACAGAATTGAAAGTTTGGAAAATAAAATAAAAGACAGAAAGACCTATAAATGACATAAATTGTCTAGAGAAAAAGACTAGTGTGTTAATGAGATAACAATAAACACATGATTACATGCAATGTTGTATGTTGCAGGAGTTATTCAATGAGAAGGTCAAGAAACAGGAGCTAGAGAATGAACTTCATATGCTGCGTCAAGACTTAGAAAAAGTGGGAATAGAGTGGAACCAGAATGAGACTTCACAATCTAGTGAAGATAGGTAAATAAATATTTCTTAAAATGCATAAATATTATATTATAACTTGAAGCTGTTACACTGTTCAAATCACTTTCAACAAACTGTTATGTGTTTGTATCCAGCAAAAGAGATATTTCAATTTTTCATGCTTGGAAGATACTAGGTTTAAGGATAGTGGTTGTCATCCTTTGTTATCCCCCGCCGAAAAATTTCGGCGGAGGATATAGAAATAGTCTCCGTCCGTCCGACCTTCCGTCCGTCCTTCCGTCCGTCCGTCCTTCCGTCCGACATTTTTGTCCGGAGCATATCTCTAAAAGTATTTGAGTTATCAACTTGAAACTTCATAGGTGGATAGACCTCATTGAGGAGGAGTACAGTGCACAAGAATGATAACTCTACCTTGCATGATTTTTGAGTTATTGCCCTTTGTTATTTTTCAAAATTGATTTTTGTCCAGAGCATAACTCCAAAAGCCTATGAGATATTAACATGAAACTTCATAGGTGCATAGATCTCACTCAGGAGGCAAGAATGATAACTCTACCTTTCATAATTTTTGAGTTATTGCCCTTTGTTATTTTTCATACCTAATTTTTCACCTGAGTGGAGCATAACTCAAAAAGTGTTTGAGATATCAACATGAAATGTCATAGGTGGATAGATCTTATTGAGGAGGAATGTTGTGCGCAAGAATGATAACTCTTCCCTATACAATTTTTGAGTTATTGCCCTTTGTTTTTTAGCTCGACTTTTCTATGAAAAGGGGAGCTATCCTACTCGCCCCGGCGTCGGCGTCGGCGTTAGCGTTAGCGTTGGCGTCACACCTTGGTTAAGTTTTTCGTACCACCCCACTTTATTTCAGAAGTATTACAAGTATGGCTTTGAAACTTACCATACTTGTTCACCATCATAACCTCCATCTACAGACAAGAGTACATAACTCTGTCAAGATTTTTGACAGAATTATGGCCCTTTTTTGACTTAGAAAGTGTATTGAGCTTGGTTAAGTTTTTTGTACCACCTCACTTTATTTCAAAACCATTGGAGGTATTGCTTTGAAACTGACCATACTTGTTTACCATCACGACCTTCATCAACAGACAAGAGGACATAACTCTGTCAAGGTTTTTGACAGAATTATGCCCCTTTTTGACTTAGAAAATACATTGAATATGGGTAAAATCCACTTATTGCCTTAACCCTTTGAGATATTGCTTTGAAACTTTTAATGCTATTTCACATCATTACCCCCATCTGTACGCAAGAGAAGGTAACTCTGTCAGGGATTTGTTTTTAAAAATTAAGGCCTTTTATCGACTTAGAATCTTGGTTAAGTTTTTTGTACCAGTCAACTTTTTGACTGAACTGGTTGAGATATTAAATTGAAAGTTGGAATACTTGTTTACCATCATGGTCCCAAACATGGGCAGGAGAAGGTAATTCTGTTAAGGATTTTATTTGAATTATGGCCCTTTTTGACTTAGAAACTCAGTTAAAATTTTCATTCTTGTCCACTTGTTGACCTAACCATTTGAGATATTACTTTGGAAGTTGGAGTTCTTATGTGCCATCATGAGACCTATCTGTAAGCAAGAGAAGATAACTCTGTGAAAATGTTTCTTGATTTGTACTTAGAAATTCCTAGTTAAAGTCTTGTGTGCCCTTAACTGTCAAAGTTTTGTTTTATAGGCAAGCACTAAAAAAGTCGAGCGCGCTGTCCTTCTGACAGCTCTTGTTTTTCATGCTATTTTGTCCAGAGCTTATCTCAAAAAGTATTTGAGGTATCAACTTGAAACTTCAAAGGTGGATGGATCTCATTGAGGAGGAGTGCAGTGCTTAAGAATGATAACTCTACCCTGCATTATTTTTGAGTTATAGCCCTTTGTTATTTTTCAAAATTAATTTTTGTCCAGAGCATAACTCAAAAAGCCTTTGACATATCAAAATGAAACTTCATAGGTGCATAGATCTCACTCAGGAGATGTGCACTGCACAAGAATGATAACTATACCTTTTATAATTCTTGAGTTATTGCCCTTTGTTCTTTTTCATACTTAATTTTTCAATTCAATTTTTTTCTCAAAAAGTATTTGAGGTATCAACTTGAAACTTCATAGGTGGATAGATTTTACTGAGGAGGGATGCAGCACACAGGAATGATAACCTACCCTGCATTATTTTTCAGTAATTGCCCTTTGTTATTTTCAGCCATCAGTATTCACATAGGTTTCAAATCTTTAATCACTATAGCCATCAGTTTTCATTACCAAAAGACCTCTTAAAATGGAATTATTCCGCTCTACTACATTATACATTCTTCCAATGAGCAAACACATTCGGCGGGGGATGGCCATGTTGACATGGCTCTTGTTGGCTTTTGGAATAGTACACAAAAATCACCTGAAGTTTATCACTGAATAATTATGGAAAAACCTTCATAACACTCTATAGGAAACATTTTAAGCCCAAACAAACTGGAAATAAGTCAAAAAGTTGTTTAGATAATTTCTAGCCAAAGTTTGCATATGGGGTTACCTAGGGTCAAAAACTAGGTCACACAGCCCAAATATGGAGGAAAAAAAACCTTGTTAACACTCTAGAGGTAACATTTTCAGCCTAAATATTCTAGAAATAAGAAAAGTTATTTAAATGATTTTTAGACCAGCTTTGAATATGGGTCATCTGCTGTCAGCTCTATGTTATATTGGCCTTTATGCCCCCCGAAGGGTGAGTTGCTGCTTTGTCCGTCCGTCGGCTATTCTTGTCTGGGACATAACTTTGAAACAACAAGAAGTATCAACATGAAACTTTGTAGGTAGATAGATGTCATTGGGTAGAAGTGCAGTGCTAAAGAACCATAACTCTGTCTTGCCTAATTTTGGAGTTATTGGCCTTTGTTCATTTTTACACTTTGAACTTTGTATTGGTTATAACTCTAAAACTGTAAGAGATTTCAACATGAAATTTGTAGGTAAATAGATCTCATTGAGTAGAAGAACCATAACTCTGTTTTGCCTAGTTTTGGAGTTATTGCCCTTTGTTCATTTTACAATTACCTGTTTCCAAGCATCACTCAGTTCAACCGGTTCTTGTTATTTGTAGTCGATATAAATTTTTCCTTGTAATCAGGTGAGTCTTGATAATCAGGTGAGCCTCTTGTTAAAAGTTTGTACAGACTCATCTCTTGTACTATTTGAAATCCCTACTGTCTTTTGATTGTAATCTTGCATGTCAAATTCAGTGAATTCCTTGTTAATATCCTCAGTATCCCTAGTGCTTTTGTGTTTTCTGGCAGTTCCAGCTTTTAAGTATTCCATTTTGGGATCATGAACTGTGATCACCTCTTTCTCAGTTTCTGTTTTGTCAGTACTGGACCTGTCAAAGCAAAACACTGAAGTCAGCATCGTATTATAGACTGTTAACATTGTCATTATACTCCAAACCTATTTCAGAAATAAATTTCCTGCAACTTCATTAGCACATGTGTCCCATAAAGAAATAACACTTAAAATTTGCTACATGGTAAGCTGTTTTAATGAGGAGCCACATTTTTATGACACCACAGCCTGTGATGTGGTGTCATATAGCATTTCACCTTTGTGTGTTTGCACATACCTGCATGGGATCAAAGTTGACAAGACAGGAGGGGTATCATGGGTTTTCCGAATAAACATGTAAATTAAAAAAAAAATCATTCTACAGCTTAGATATTCATACTGGTGGACCTCTACCAGGACTGTTCAAATTATGTCCTTATAGGGTTTTCACAAATTCTCCAAGATTGTGCAAACTTGACACTGTTAATTGGTCAGTGAAAAATGGTTTTGGTCAGGGAATTTTGATTTCTCTTCTTTGTGGGAACCCTGTACATACATTTGATTACATTAAAAAAAAAACCTGCTGTGTCCTTACCACTTTCAAAAAATACAGAGGAATCCATGTTTGGATTTACATACTTGTGTTTAAGTGAAACACACATCTGTTGAGACACATGTTAAACAAATTTGTTTATTTAACAGTGACTTTTATTGTTGTTAAATGTAAAGAATTTCTGTAAGGAACCTTTGATAACTGCCTACTTCAGACGGAAAGGACAGAAAAATTGAAATTCTAATTGTTAAGTAAACAAAACCTGTTTCAATACAGTACTGATATTTTGTTCCTTGTGGTGAAGGTTTCTTTCTGATTTTGAAATATAATAACATATGGGAACAGCCTAATGGTTGGTTTTGAAGTCTGGAGTTAAAATAAACATTAAATAATATTGAAGAAATGATAATGAGGTATAAGAATGATCGAGTTTTAAATTTCACAAGGATTTGACTTCAGGCACATTGAACTGTCCCTTTAATTAAACATGTTAGGGGTGTTTGAAATGTGTATTGAAAATGTGTATTGAAAATGTATAGAGAAGTTTTTCTTAAAAGAATTGAATAGAAATTTTGCAAAGAAATTGTTAAAACTAAGTTTTGATACAATTTTCGCGGGACAATTGTTTGATTCATATTAATGGTGTGGTATATTTAAACTTTTAAATGAAAACTTGGCACAAGTGTGTAACTTTGATTGGCATTTTCTCCAACATTACTGATAGGATATATATATAGAAGACTTATGAGAAAAGTGAAAATTGCTCAAGTATTACATACAAGCATAAAAGGAGTTGACATTTTTATCAGAGTTTTATCTTGAAAGACTACACATTTGATAGTTAGCAGAAGAATTTTAATGAGGATTTTGAATTCTATAAGAATTAAAGAAAAACATAGACTATTTTTAGTTTATTTGTAAGTTATTTAATTTAATTAAATATAATGAAGTGAAGTGCTTGAAGTGATTTGACAGTTGAAGTAACTGCTTGAATTGATTTGACCGTTGAAGTAATAAATGAAATAGAACAGACAATAGTCATGAAGGAAGGTGATTTGAAATTGTTTGTGGATAATTTTTGTACTCGTTGTGTTGTAGAGTATAATGTCTTGGAAAAATTACGTCAGAAATCAGATGAACAAAAGTTCAAAGTGGAAACTTATTTGTAAGTTATTATTGCAAAGCCCTTTAATATTTCTTTATATCCAGTATGATTTTATCTTACAGTGGGTACCATGAATGACCTGAATTTAAGGATAATAGTGACAAATGTGACAAAACTTGAATTGTTATAAAAACTTTGTTGGTTTTGTCTGAAGAGTTTATCACTCACTAATGTTTCAGACTTCTGGTTAAATTAATTTTTTTCAAATTTTTAACCAGGTTATCCAAAGGAAAAATCTGATTACTAGTATCAGATTGGGTTAGGCTGGCAGAAGGTCATGAATAATTTCTTCTGTATGCAACTCCTCCACTTCTAAAGGGATTTTGACCAAAACTTGGCATCAAGTGCCCTGGCACATATTGTTGGTGATCTTTAAAGATCATCTCCTTTGAAACTGTAATAGCTACAGCTTAGATATTTGGCATGAAACATCATGTAGTTGACCTGTTACACCCTTGTTCAAATAATGGCCCCGCCCAAAGGATAGGTTTTTCTTAAAGGTTTATTGTAAATTCTTAAAATCATCTAGTGGTCCTCTACCAAGCTTATTCAAATAAAAGGCCGTGGAAAATTAACTCTGCCCTGGGGAGCCCTAGGTTTTCCATATATGAATATTGTGCATTTTTAAAAAAAAAAAACACATCTACTTTGAAACTATACAGGCTAGAGAATGAACTATTGTGTAATAGACCAAAACCAAGTTTGTTGATTGTTAATTATAGCCCAGGATACCGTTTCACTAACATACTTACGCAAATTCTTGACTTACGCAAATTTTTTTCAATGTGCTAGAAAATAAATTCAAACATACTCACATGTTTTTAAATCTTATATATTCAATCTTTCATTTGCTCAAAACTTAATTAACATAAAATATAAAAACAAATACTTGCTATTGACATAAAAAAATCAATGGAAATTTTTGTGTTAAGTTTAAGAATTTGCGTAAGTATGTTAGTGAAACGGTACCCAGGTGTCTAAATTGGCCCTGCCAGAGGGGGGGGCTCATTGGTTTACCTTATATGTAAAAAAAGAAAATCTTAAAAATTATCTTCTGAAACTAATGACTAGAGCTGAGATATTCACATATCATATTCACTGGCTGAATTGTATTTTGCCAGTCTAAAAAGACTGATATCTAATGACCATACATTGTAGACTGTAAATTATGCATGTACTCAAAAATATAATTGTTGCATTTTATGCTGGTGGCATATTTCTTGATTCCATTATCATTACTTTACTATTATAGTTAAAAGAAAGTTACACCGCAATGATGAGTATAAAATTGAATGACTTTCTTATGCTGAGCATTTGTGTAGCAATTGAACACCTGATGTCATCTTGTTTGCATGTGACTTTTTCTCTTGTTTGATTTCTGCAATGTTATTGTAATATATAAAAGCATAATAAATGATGCATACATATAGTAAATCATGAACAAGTTAACTGTACAAAGCAAACAGAATAATCAAGCAGCATAATATACTACTATAATCTAATGAATAGATTATTATTATGAATAAAGTTTATTTGTTCTGAAGTTTATTGTTTGTAATAATATGCATCTAATTAGATATAATAAGCATTTCAAATTTGTTGAAACATAAAAAATACAAACTAATTATATATGTAAAATATCAAAAGGCCATTATTCTCCCAAAAATGTTCAAATTGCAAAATGCTGACATAAAGCACGAGGGCAGTTGTAACATAAAGATTGAAAAACCTGGTTTTATTGCATTACAGCATTTCTTATTTTATTTCAGTCGTTTCAAGACCCTGGAATTATTCATGGAAGACACTCTTAATAAGTCTTTATCTATCAAAGAGGATAAGATTCATGCCCTGGAGAGTCGTCTGGAAGAATCAAAGAACCGTAACCTTAAACTGCAAGAAGAACTGCATATCACACGACGAGAATGTGAGTCTCTGAAACAAAGAATGGAGGAAGAATCTCTCAGTAAAGAAAGAGAAAGGTAAGCTAATTATTAGTATAAACTCAAATATACACCATTGTTTGTTTTGTCTTTACACAGAATATAACAGATGTTTTGTAAGAAAATTGAACTTTGATATCAGCTGACCTAGATTCCTTCAATGTACAGCTATGAAATTTGGGCCATGTACAGAGTTTTAGATGTAAAATTGAACTTTGATATCAGCTAATCTAGATATCTAGATGTAAAATTGAACTTTGATATCAGCTGATCTAGATTTTTACCTAGTGACCTTCATTCTTGTCCTTTGGTGTACAGCTATGAAATTTGGACCATGTGGACAGTTTTAGATGTAAATTGAACTTTGATATCAGCTGACCTAGATGTTGACATAGTGACCTACTGTATTCCTAGAAATGTTCGCGGATACAATATTTCGCGTTTTTCACAACGTCGGCATTTTCGCGGAGACAAACTTTCGCGGATTTGTAGTTAACGCGAATTCCGCGAATATTAAGTCGCTACGGCCTAAATTACAGTTTTTGGAGGCTACGGTATAAACCTACATGTATTTTATGTCCAAAACATAAAAAATAATATCAAAATAAAATAATTCCCAGTCTCCACCCTGGTATATGCGCATGCAGTATAGCCTATTTTCTAATTATGAATGTCACATTAATGATTCAGCAATTCATGATTGACCTTAACACTATAAACTAGAAAGAGGTAGCTGGAAATTTACCGGTTTATTTTTCGGTCCAGACGTCTGGATTTATATAACGGTAATGTCGTGCTACTTCAACAGTATCCGACTGTACATCGCTCTCATTATAATTTATCAATGTTGCACTTGATCGCTTTTGTATTTTTAACAAAGGATTACACCTACTTCAAGCAAATAAAATCCAAGTCATTCAATGTACGCAAACTGTAAATGCTTTTGAATACGCCGTGACTAGCGAATAACGTCAATAAACATGATAATTACTAATAATTGACATTTTTTCTTTCAGGGTCTTTTTGTTATGTGCATTATTGGTATTGTAATTTTGTCATTGCATATTAAACCCCGTATGTATCCGCAAGTAAGATTATAATAAAAATTCTGCATGTTTATGTTTATATTTGGTTGAAGCTAGAAATGTTCGGGGATTTGTTATAACTGACATATCCGCGACTATAAACATTCGCGGAATCATGCCTACCGCGAAAAGCGCTAACTTAAAACGCGTGAAATCTTTTCTAGGAATACAGTATCTTCTTGTCATTGATGTACAGCTATGAAATTTGGACCCTGTGCACAGCTTCACATGTAACATTGAACTTTGTTACCAGCTGATCTATATTTTGACCTGGTGACATCCTTAGGCTTTTTTACTTTTTATGCCCCCGCCATATAATGGCAGGGGCATATAGTGTTACCCTGTTCCGTCATTCCGTCATTCCGTCATTCCGTCATTCCGTCCTTCCGTCCTTCCGTCATCATCAGTTTCCGTTCATTATCTTAATAACCCTTGCACATATTGAACTCAAATTTGACATATGGATATGTCATGAGAAAATACAGGTCAAGTTCGAAATTGGTCATGGTTCGATGATTTTTGGCAGAGTTATGCCCCTTTTACATTGAAAATAATATGAAATTTTCAGTTTCCGTTCATTATCTCCCAAACAGTTCAAAACATTCAATTCAAAATTGACATATGAAAATGTCATGAGAAAATACAGGTCAAGTTCGAAATTGGTCATGGTTTGATGATTTTTGGCAGAGTTATGCCCCTTTTACTTTGAAAATAATATGAAATTTTCAGTTTCCGTTCATTATCTCCCCAACGGTACAACACATTCAACTCAAACTTGACATATTGATATGTCATGAGAAAATACAGGTCAAGTTCAAATTTGGTCATGGTTCGATGATTTTTGGCAGAGTTATGCCCCTTTTACTTTGAAAATAATATGAAATTTTCAGTTTCCATTCATTAACTCCCCAATGGTACAACACATTCAACTCAAACTTGACATATGGATATGTCAAAGGAATGCGCAGGTCAAGTTCAAATTTGGTCATGGTTCAATGATTTTTGGCAGAGTTATGCCCCTTTCACTTTGAAAATAATATGAAATTTTCAGTTTCCGTTCATTATCTCCCCAATCGTACAACACATTTAACTCAAACTTGACATATCGATACGTCAAAGGAATGCGCAGGCCAAGTTCAAATTTGGTCATGGTTCGATGATTTTTGGCAGAGTTATGCCCCTTTTACTTTGAAAATAATATGAAATTTTCAGTTTCTGTTTATTATCTCCCCAACAGTATTAAACATTCAACTCAAATTTGACACATTGATACGTCAAAGGAATGCGCAGGTCAATTTCAAATTTGGTCATGGTTCGATGATTTTTGGCAGAGTTATGCCCCTTTCACTTTAAAAATAATATGAAATTTTCAGTTACCGTTTATTATCTCCCCAACAATATTACACATTCAACTCAAATTTGACATATGGATATGTTTTTGGAATGCGCAGACCATTTAGTTCGAATCTGGTCATGGTTCAATGATTTTTGGCAGAGTAATGCCCCTTTCACTTTGAAAATGATATGAAATTTACAGTTTCTGTTCATTATCAACCCAACAGTGTTACATATTTAACTCAAAATTGACATATGGATATGTCAAAGGAATGCGCAGGTCAAGTTGGAATTTGGTCATGGTTCGATGATTTTTTGGCAGAGTTATGTCCCTTTCACTTTGAAAATAATATAGATACATCTTAGGAATAAGCAGTTTAAGTTTGAATTTGGTCGTGGTTCAATGATTTTAGACAAACTTATCTTTCCTGAATGTTGGAAAAATTTTGAACTTTCAGTTTCAGCACTCGTACTTTTGTGGAAATGTATGCAATATGCTATTTTTAAAAGGTTAAGACTGAATAATTTCAGTGCCTTGAACATTGTATAAAAATGGTTAAGACTGAATAATTTCAGTGCCTTGAACATTGTATAAAAATGGTTTGTGTTAACATTGAAAAGTTTTAAGGGCTTTGAACTTAGAATGAAAAAAATAATTTGTGCAAACAAATTCGGAACTAAATATTATAACATTTGAAATTTTGGCTGCATGCGGGGGCATCCGTGGCATGATGACACATTTCTAGTTTCAATAATTTTTCTTTTAAAGATTTATTTAACCTTTTATTTGTTTGCTTTTTGAAAAATAAAAAAAGTCAAGCATTGCCCCCACCTGGCGATGGCTCTTGTTACTTTTGTATTTTGTTTGCTTTTTTGTAGAAATGTAGGAAGTTTCAGACCAGAATCAGGCCGTGTATCTAACAGTCCGTTTTTGAAAAACAGTGCATATACGAGTCCAGATCAGAACCAAACAAGTCATCTGGTAAAGTTAGAGAGAACTGTAAGTAACTTTAAAAAACTTTGAAACTACCTACCCAGTCCAAGTGAAACTTGAAATGATCTTACAGGAGAAAATGTCCTGTGAAACCTAGTATTTTACAGGACCTTGGTGATGACAGGACCTAAATTTGTTGTAAATACAATTAAGTCTTCGAAGAGTGCTTGAAATTATACTATAAAGAAGAACTTCAAGTTTGTCTTAGTGATTGGTCAAACTCAAATTTGCCTTAATTGTTTTAAAATATTTGAAATAAAGATAAATTGATACAAACCGAACAGTTAATAAGCATTTTTCTTTGATTAGAATGCCAGTCTACAGGTGGAGAATGACAATCTGAAGTCACAGAACAACACTCTAAATGAACATATCAAGAAACTTGAATCCCAGAATTCCCAAGTGCAATCATCAGCCCAGATTGAGAGAGGTTCCCTACAGTCCCAGAATGCAAAGCTACAAGTAGATAATGCTACATTTAAAGCTCAATGTGATTCATTAAAAGAACAAAACACGTCTTTACAAGGACAGCTGTCTGTTACAGAAAAAGATCATAAAAAACTTAATCAGATTTATCATGATTTACAAAGTGCTCATGGATTACTTATACAGGATCATGAAAAATTGAGAAAAAATCATAATCAGTCAACATCAGAGTTTGAGGCTTTGATATCAGAACATGGTTCATTAAAATCCATTCATAAAACTGTGAAAAATGAGAATCATGATTTACAGCAGCAGATAAACAATTTATTACATGTTAAAGATGATGACAATAAATTTCGTGACTGGTTGAATCGTGAACGTGAACAATTGCAATTAGAGAAGAAATCTCTTAGAAATGATCAAATGAACTACAACAAACTTCGAGATGAACATGATAGATTGTTAAAGGAGTATGATAACCTTAGAGCTGTTCAAAGTGAAATGGATAAGAACCATCATGGTATTGTTGAAGAGAATAAACAGCTAAAGGCAGAATATAACAACATGCAACAGGAATGTACTAAGTGCAAGGAAAGACTGAAATCAATAGAAACAGAATTCAAATTTCTGGCTGATAAGTATGATGTAAGTGAATAGTCTGAGAGCTCATGCAATGATTAATTCTTACTAGGCTAAATATCTTAAATTTACATGTCCAACTTTCATCTGGACAAAACCATTTACAAAATTTAAAAAAAATGCACTATTTTTAGGGAAAATTATAAACCTACAGATTATGGGTCTAGGTTTACTAGGGACTCTTATTTCTTGTTTTGACACAAGTACTTGTTTGTCCCAGGAAGAAAACTCAGCAGTGGTTCAACTTAGCTTTAAGCTTTCATCGTAAGCTAATAAAAATTAATATGTTTAAAATTAAGTTGATAATTTATATCTCAGTAGTTGTAAAATAATAACAAACTAATAATATTAGTATAACACTTTTCAGTAATAAATAAGTTGCTAGGATGTATCTAGCTAGTGATGGTGAATTCTCAGGTGTTTTATTCTTGTATTTCAGGTTTTATATGAGATGTATCAAAAGACATTAGAGGACAATGAGCAGTTGATGAATCAAGTGAAGCTATTGATCAGCAAGAATCAGGAGCTACTAGGCTATGTTCTTAATAATAAAGATCAGATGGCTGGACAAGAAAAATCATACATGTAAGATATTGTCAACCAAAGCATATGAACTAACTGCAAACACTGTCTAGAGCCTAAAAAGATTTTTTTCCCCATCTACCTTTCCACAAAAATCATGATGTGATGCTGTGGCATATAGTGATTCACCTGTGTGTGTGTTTGTATGTTCTATAGCTTATATAATGAACTTAAAAAATCTTCTTTTAAAACAGTCCAAATTCAACCAAACTTGGCAGGATTGTTCCTTGGGTGAAGGGCTTCCAAAGTATTTCAAAGAATTTGATTCCATGCAGGAATCTGGTTGCCATTGCAACCAAAAGAAATTATAAGAAAAAGGTAAAAAAATCTTCTAAGACCCACAAGGCCTAGAGCATAGATATTTTGCATAAGGCATTGTCCATTAGACCTTTTCAAATAGTGTTCAAATTATAGCCCTGGGGACAAAATTGGCCCTGCCCAAGGGATGGGGTCAAGCTTTTCCTTATATGTACATAGTAAAAGCTTAAAAAATCTTCTCTGAATTGACAAAAACTACAGGTTAGATATGAAACATTGTGTGGTGGACCTCTACCAAGATTGATCAAATTATAGTCCTGAGGTCAAAATTGGCCCGGGGGGGGGGGGGTGTCATTACTGTTCCTTCTACTAATTTATTGATCTGACTGCTCATCACACATTTTTTCCTTTTTAACTTGTCTATTTGAGGAAATGGGAAAATGGGAGAGACATTTTACCTACATTTTTTTTTCAATATCAGTGGGATACATTGGTTAAGATGTTTATACCATCTGATATTTCTTTGAACTGTCATGTATTTTGACTCAATAATACCACTTTTTGGTTTGGACTTTGAAATTTCAATTAAGGTTTTCTTACCATCTTTGTCCTTTTGGTTATTCTTATAAAACCTGAAATACTTATTTATTACCTTTACCCCATTTAAGAGGTGACTCTGTCAGAAACAAACTTAATAACCTAAAGTTATGTAAGACCTGCTTTCATAAGATAATTAAGCTTTGAGAAAAGTCAAGCACATTCCTATAGACTTGTGAGTATAAAAGAAATCAGAGACAAAAGATATGGGGAACTTTAGTCAAGTTTGATGTAAATTGATTAAAAGACAAGGTTACTGTCACAGCTGTATCAGTATAAAGAAGCATTCGTCAGTGTGACAGAATTTATTTGATTTATATTTAATTTTGGCCGGGTTCCACTGGTGCAAACCCGGGTTATAGTATGGTGAATGTTGGGCGTTGGGCGGGCTGTTGCTTATCCACTTCCTGTTTACCAACTTAGTTAAATTTTCGACATTAATGGTCAGTGGTAAATTTTTTCTGTAGCATCACAGCATCATGATATTTGGTATACAAATGCAACCCGGCCTTTTCTGTCTTTGACCCATTTTATTATTTTTAATATACAGGGAGCAGTTGGCAGATTTAAGAAGGCAGAAAGAACGACTAGAAGAGAAAATTATGGAACATTACAAGAATAGGGAGAAACAAAAGAAAAATAAAAGTTTTGGAGCCATGTTACTTCAGAAAGTTAGGGGAGGTCTAAAGGTAAAATTTGCTTTACAGAAGTATGTGATCAAGATATTTCACTCATCAATGGCACATAAATTCTGTAAATTTTCTCTCTTATTTTTGCTTTGTTACATATTTAGACTGTAATGAGTTGTGATGATTTAGCATCAATGCATATTGGAATTTGATAAATTTATTAAGTGGTGAATAATGTATCATTTTCATGTGAATTTAATAGAAAAAGAGGCATAGACCTCTTTAGTGACATGAATGGTCACTGTAGTAACAGGCTAAATGGTAGCACCAGCTTCAGCGGTTGCACTCATAAAAGGTCATCATTGTATTAATTATTTTTCATTCAAAGAATTATATGCAAAAGTAACATTAAAGATTCTGTAAACAAGGGAATTTGTTTCCATGACTCATGTATGCTTGAATTACCATTACAGCGAAGCAAGTCAAGGCCAAATCTTCTAGAGGGAAGTCTAGACAGTTCTTCACTGGGTTCTGGGTCCTTTGCAGACCAAGATGGGGAATTTTCAAAGAAATCAGGTATAAAGTATCTCCAACAATTACTGTTATTCTTGTACTCCAATATAGTAGATTGCTATTATAGCTAGATATGATTTAACAATGATGGTAAACATAAAATCATGAATTGACTTTGTGATTAATAATAATTAAACGGTGTTAGCCAAGAATGAGTGTTTTACAGGAGATGAACTATTGAATGATATGGCTGATTAGAGTTTATAATGAAAGTTGACTGTTGACATTACTTAAGTATATAATTTATTTCTGACATATTAAACATGTAAAAAGTAAAACTTGTTTGGACCAAATGACTGCATGCACAGTACCATTGCACATCAGATAGTTTGGTAAAACAGTAATAGTTGTTTTCATAACATTGCACAGTTCTTGTCATTCAAACACTTGCCTGTATTAAATGCACCTGTAAAATTGCTTGACCTCATTAACCTGTCTGTTTGCCTGATCTCTATGACCAGCCAGCATGTCTGTACAGTTTTACTAGTGTCTGATGGCTGATTCATTTTAATGTTTTTATATTGAAATCTTTTGGCTAACTAACAATTGGCAGTTGCAAATTCAAAGAAATCAGTTGCATAAAGTCACTAGGGCATTATACATGTATAATATATAATATGTGGTTGCAGTATTTAAATCAGATAGTGTACATGAAGCCAGGCTATAAGATTTGTAGTTATACAAAAATGCACCTTGAAATTATTCTCTAGAAGAGCACATTATGATTTTTTCTAAAATTCACACCCCTTGATTCTTTGTAAAATTTGTTTGCTTAGGCCACTGTTTGTTGATTTTTTTTTAGTTCTCAGAGCCACCAACCCTAAATTTTGGCAGATAATAAGAAAAAAGGGTGAAATTTGAAAAGGAAAAAAAAATCTATATCCCATCAAAATTTAGTAATGTTACAAGATGGCAATTAGATTGACTAAGTCACCTCAACTTTCTGAACTTTGTTGAGTTTGAATATTAATGCAAAAATCACACCTAATGTACAAGAAGTTAAGAAACTTAAGAAATAAATTGTTTTCGAATGCACAGCCGTCATTATAGTCATTAATCTAAAACGTTTTATGTGTGTTTTTTTTTCTGTAATTAATTTTTATCTAAACTTACAGGGCTCCAGATAATTTTTTAGGGCAATGAGTATTTACTCATTGATTTTTTTGTGAATGAGTAAAACTTGAAATCTGAAATTTGACAGGAGTATTTTTACTCCTTTAAATGTATGTAAAAGAGTAAAACATTTATTATGCTTCCATGTTTATTGCATTATCATACTTGTAATACAAGATATGTCAAAGTCATTTCTTTTGCTTTTTGGACTCCCTTGGTTTATAATCTTGCATTTCCAAACGGCATACGTTTTATCTGACTGTTGCTCATACGGGGCAGCGCTAATTATTTCATTAATTAAAACCTTTGCCGATTTTTTTCGGCCGGAAATACGAGTCAATCATTTTAACATTTGACAGCGACATTGTACCGGATGTTTATGAAATTGCGTTAATTCCACCACCTTACCATACATACGATAACATGATAGTCGGAACTACAGGAAGTTACCGTTAGACATTGCAAAGCGTTCAGTAAGATAATCGCCGAGTTTACTTTCGATTACGTTTACACGAAAGAAATGTTGCTCAATGCGTAACCTGAATTTTGTGTGCGTTTTCATATGCTTAAATTTTGTTTTGAATGCGTAAACGTGTTATTTCCATGTGTAATTTACGCGTATACGCATCTTGGAGCCCTGAACTTAATTTAAAACAAAACAAACAAAAAATGAGAAACAAAAAAATAAAATAAAAAACAGTGGACTTACATGTGTGTTTTATCCAGTGAAACCATACATATATATTGTATTTATGAGTGATTTAGTAACACTGGTGACATCTGAATATTTTAATTTCTAAATATAGGATGAATGGCTGTAATCTAGGTCATATCTGCTTGCTGTTGATGCACCTTTTTTTGTTAAAATGAGTGACACGGGCTCTCTATGTAAATATAACTGACTGCAATGAGGACCTTTGGTAATTTCATTATTAAAACATACCTGGTTCAAAACGGAAGAAGTATTAGAAATATCTATTTGGAACTTCATACAATGATAGATCTCATTTAGGAAAACTACATGGTCCAAGAACTTTGCATGATTTAAGACTTAACCCACTTTGCTATTTTTCTCTATTTAATTTATTTTGGGGAAATAAGTCTTAAAGTATTCAACATTAAAATGCCATTAAAGGTTGATACAGTTCATAGGAACAGTTCAAATATAATATTTTTGCTCTGTTGTATATATGAAGCTCCAGTTTAGTGATTAAGTGAAACCATTTAACTGTGCAATTAATTACCAAACATCTGAAAAATAAATTGCTTATTTGAAAATGACCATGCATTGAAAATTCATCTCTATATCCATTTTAAAATGCCCAGAAAGAATTACTTTTGAGTGGAAAAATAATTTACTAAGTCCCCGACATTGTATCTGATGTTGTATGACATAAAATTTATTTTAACAGAACATAGTCTTTCTATAACAAGAAAATTATTTTTTAGAATTTTTGTCATTTTGCTTTTTGTTACTCCATTATTGTGTTGTATTGTACATGTATATTTATTTATTTATTATTAGTTTTAAGGATGTCTAACAGGATATATTGCTCAGTATAAATGGTTGTTAGTTTTGAGCAGCAATTGTTATATAGCAAACAACCATTTATATATGGCCATATAACCTGTTAGACATCTTTATAACAAATTTATAATACAGCATAATTACTTTATGAAGGGAAAACAAAAATTACTTAATATATTGACTGCTGTCATGTATATAGATTAGATAAAAGTCACAATTATCCAATGAAAAGTGACATTACAAACATGCAGTATTATAAAATAATGTTATACAGTGTACATATTTATTAATGAAGTTTAAAAATTTGATCACCTCTGACTTCTCATTGTGTCTGCTTTATGTCAAATGGGATAAATTGTTAAATACTTGATACAGTAATTTACTAAAACATTGTTCAGTTATAAAGCAATTAAACCAGCAACTTTTCTGATCATTTTGTTATTTATACTAAACTATGTGTGTGTCCCTTGTGGACAAGTTGTAAAGGTTATTGACTTCAAATGACTGAATCTTATCAGGGACTTCTTTCATATACAGTTAGCATAAAGGAGGTCAGTGAATTTCATCTGGTAGAACACATGGGATCTTATAAGACCTTAACAAAGTTGATGCTTCTGAAAGGACTAAAAAAAAAGAAAAGAAAAACTACATATTAACCAATAAGAACATAAATTGATTTGTTGTGAAACATTCCTTACTTATTGCTTTGACTTAACTTCGATAAGATAGAAAAACTTTTCCAAAATAATATTTTGGTTACTCAAATTTGTAAAAAGGACTTGAAAATTTTGCTCATTATATCATGATATAGACCTGCAACCAGTGTTTTACTGTATTTTGTATGTATTAGTATTTTCCTTGCCTCAGATTGTAATATTAACCCCTGTATTCACCTGTTGTTGCATGTTCCTCACTGTAGTAGTTGTGAAAAATTATTGATTGATCTTCATCAAAGTAAACCTGAAATTTCTTTAATATTGAGTAATGACAATTAATGTACTGAGAAATGTGTATTTTAGGAAGATATGTGTATATATAATCATATCTATCAAACTATCATTTGATTGTATAAAAGGTTCAATGATGAAGACCAAATCAATTAGTGTCAAACTGTCAGAATGTTGCATGTCAATAATAGCATAGGAAAGGTACTGAAAATTTGGTTAAAATGGAAATAAAGGTAAAGATCTGTGGTTTAAGGGACATTAAGCAACACTTGATGGTATAACTAATATGTTGTTTAAGTAACCAAGTTTGTTTGTTTTAACTAAATGGCACATATTTCCTTCCCTCACTTGCACAGACAAGAGACGGTACGTTCGACGCAGGGGCAGCAATTCTGGTTTCAGCGATGACAGTGATAGTAGAAGTTTGTTGAAACAAAATCGAGGGCTTGCAAAATCCACTACTGCGTTAAATGCAAGCCCCACAGATAGTCCTATTTTATCTCACTCTGAGTTACGAGGTAAAAATTGTACTGACAATTCTATCATCAGTTACTAATTTATGTCTCATACTGTCACTGTGTGAAATCTGTGATATTAAAAAAAGCTAACTACTGTTTTTATCTCAACTTTTTTTTCTTTAAAAGAAAAAAATACAGATATTGTTACAGTCATGTTGGCGTTGCCATCCCCCAAACTTTGTGTTTGATCATAACATTTTAAGTTGTCCTTGTATTGTCTTCATACTTGGCCACAACAACCCTTGGGACAAGACCTTCAAGTAAACCTGACTAAACTTGATTTTTGTTCATAAATGACCTTGACCTTTAAAGTCAAATGTCTAAATTTTGCTTGATTTTTCCTATTGGTGTTATTTTTTATTTTTATCTTCGAACAAGAAGACAACAATCTTTTAGGATACGTCTTCTTTCATAAATAGCCTTGACCTTGACGGTCAAATTATTGAAACTTTCCTTTTTAGTTGTAACTGGCTATAACTTTGTTTTCAATAAATGGATTTACTTAATATTAAGACACAACAATCTTAAGGATAGGACCTTCATGTATATCAAACTCAAATTGACCTTGGCTCATTAATGACCTTGATCTTGAAGGTTGAATTTTTGAATTATCACTGATTTTTTGCTATAATTGACTGGAACTTGGTAATTAATAAATGGATTTTCTTCATACTTGGAAAAAACAACTTTTTTGAAAGTTTGAACCTTGACCTTGAGTTTAAATGACTTTTTATCTCAACTTTTTTTTTCTTTCAAAGAAAAAAATACAGATATTGTTACAGTCATGTTGGCGTTGCCATCCCCCAAACTTTGTGTTTGATCATAACATTTTAAGTTGTCCTTGTATTGTCTTCATACTTGGCCACAACAACCCTTGGGACAAGACCTTCAAGTAAACCTGACTAAACTTGATTTTTGTTCATAAATGACCTTGACCTTTAAAGTCAAATGTCTAAATTTTGCTTGATTTTTCCTATTGGTGTTATTTTTTATTTTTATCTTCGAACAAGAAGACAACAATCTTTTAGGATACGTCTTCTTTCATAAATAGCCTTGACCTTGACGGTCAAATTATTGAAACTTTCCTTTTTAGTTGTAACTGGCTATAACTTTGTTTTCAATAAATGGATTTACTTCATATTAAGACACAACAATCTTAAGGATAAGACCTTCATGTATATCAAACTCAAATTGACCTTGGCTCATTAATGACCTCGATCTTGAAGGTTGAATTTTTGAATGATCACTGATTTTTTGCTATAATGGACTGGAACTTGGTAATTAATAAATGGATTTTCTTCATACTTGGACAAAACAACTTTTTTGAAAGTTTGAACCTTGACCTTGAGTTTAAATGACTTTGACTGTCAAGGTCAGATTATTGAGTTTTGGTTATATTTTCTTAACTTTTTATCATTTATTTATGGAAATTATTTATAGTTTAAGAAAACAACAAGTGTGACAAGACAGACCTATTAAATATAAAAAAGAAAACTTGTTTTCATTTTTATGCCACTGAGGCATCTGCGATGCGGTGGCATATAGCAATTCACCTGTGTGTGTGTGTTTGTACGTTTGTCTATTATATAGATTATATAGTAAACTTAAAAAAATCTTCCTTGTTAAAAACCACTGGTCGGATTTCAACTAAAGTTGCCAGGATTATTCCTTGGGTGAAGGGCTTCCAAAGTTGTTCAAAGAATTTGATTCCACACAGAAATCTGGTTGCCATGGCAACCAAAAGGAATTAAAAAGATTTCTTTTTTTAAAAACCCTTTTTGTAAAGACCCACTAAGCCTAGAGTCAAATACCTTAATTTTTGTCAAGTAAGAATGCTTTTATTTTGAATCAATTATTATACCATGGCTTTTGTATGTGAACATTAGAATCATCTGCACATTGTCTGTTATTTGACATAGTGAAATATTACCTTGACCCCTAAAGTCACTAGACACTACTGCATTATTGCAAAGTTCAGTTGTGTAGAAACATAAAAAATCTACTTCTGCTTCTATATAGTATTGTATTAATGCAGTGGCATAGCATTTTTCCACAAATGCAATCTTGTTTTTATTATTCTTGTTTGCTTTTAGAAAAAGTAAAAAAAGGTCGAGCATTGCCCCCACCTGGCGGTTGCTTTTGTTTTAACTTGATTTGAACTAAACCTTTCAATTAGATGTCCTTGGACTGAAGCCAGTGACCACTTAGTAAAAATAAATATTGACCAAGGATGACCATGACCCTGTGATCTACATTTTACCACAGTAATAAATGTGAGGAATCTGGGAATATTATGTTAAACCCTTGTTTCTCACATTTAAAAAATATTGTTTTTTTATCCCCCGCCGAAAGGCGGCGGGGGAAATAGAAATAGTCTCCATCCATTAGTCCTTCCACCCTTCCATCTGACATTTTTGTCCGGAGCATATCTCAAAAAGTATTAGAGGTATCAACTTTAAACTTCATAGGTGGATAGATCATATTGAGGAGGAGTGCAGTGCACAAGAATGATAACTCTACCCTGCATAATTTTTGAGTAATTGCCCTTTGTTATTTTTCATACTTTTTGTCCGTAGCTTATCTCAAAAAGTGTTAGAGGTATCAACTTGAAACTTAGGTTCAAAAAGGTGGATAGATCTCATTGAGGAGGATTGCAGCACACATGAATGATAACCTGCCCTGCATTATTTTTCAGTTATTGCCCTTTGTTATTTTCAGCCATCAGTATTCACATAGGTTTCAAATCTGTAATCACTTCAGCCATCAGTTTTCATTACCAAAAGACCTCTTTAGATTGAATTATTCTGCTCTACTACATATACATTCTTACAATGAGCAAACACATTCGGCGGGGGATGGCCATGCTAACATGGCTTTTGTTCAAATCATTTTAAATTGATATTTACCAGTGAGTTTCTGGCTTTAAAAATTTTATACTTAAAATTAATTAAATAGACACAGTCATATGCATAGATAAGTCATATGCATAGATATTAGGTCATTAGAAACTCTTTTCAATTTTATTACCTTCCTTTAGTTGTTTAGTAGATTTGGTAACGGCTTTAATAATTTATTTTCTTGCGTTTAACCTCACATGTTTTGTAGTGATCCTTACCTTTTGTTGTTTTAACATGATCTAGGTGCGAGGTCTACAGAAGGTTTACTAAGTGATACATTACTTGGAGACAGTGTCTCCTGTAGTACCTCTGCTTTCACCCCTCTGCCAGGTAATGCTTCTAGATTTAATCATAAATTGTTGACAATAATTAAAACTTCTTGCTAGTGGTTTATATTGCCAGATAGTCTTAGTGTATCTATAATTCTCTAGAATTCTCCATTTTTAACAGTTTTATCTTTCTGAATACTAGTTAATACTTTATATTTTAAGTTACTATCATGACTACTACATGTGTATATAAAAGAGAACAGTATATATCGCCATTAACACTGCCACTATACATGTATTATACATACTTTGTTTTTAGCAGTTTTATAAATAATTAAATTGAAACATTAATTCAAGTTTGTAATTGAAACAGGTTTTTGTGACTGAACTGTTAATTGTCTGCTTCTTTGACAAACCAGTACTGGTACCCCAGCAGTACTTGACTCTTGTTGAGTGGCAGACACCTGAACCACTGAACTAATAATCGAAGGGTAGATGTGTATTGCCTTTTTTGTTGTTGTCCCAATTAAATGAAGAGTTATTATATTGGTATACATAATAGTTACATTTTCAACGCTCTATGATAATTTATCTTATAAGTGTGCCACCTACTCTTGAGTGTAGAGGCTGTGAAAAGCATGCAAAGGTTAGCGTTAATCCGCTTTTTTTGTTCGTTTTACCTGTTAATCTGTCCGGTTACAACCTCAAATTTGTAGTTGTAACACACAAACACTGATAAATTGAGTAAATCACACAAACCCAAAATCAATTTAAAATAATAATAAAAAAAAATGATGTGGACATAATCAATGCAGGAAGTTTTTACTACAACTGTAATTATAGCTGTGTTAACATTTTTGCATTATATTTTCCTTTCTGAAGTTTCAGGTTCTTTTAAATTGAATAAGTATTATTTTTGAAAAATAATATATATGTTCAATATTGAATTGTTTTAGAGAACAAATTTATTGATTGGAAAGTTAAAAATTAGTGTTATATGTATCATTGATGGGTGGGGTAATGCAGTAGTGCTATATTACGGTTTTGAGACCTTATGGACCCCAACATGAGCTTTATAATGGGGCTGCAGTGTATATCATAAAGTAATTTATGTTAAAAATTTCAACAAATTCCATGTTCAAATAATTCACTACTGGCACACATATAATGAAGTTTCTCTTAAGAGTAGATTCTGCAAACAGGCAGAAAACTGTTAAGTCAGGATAGCTGTCATATTCATATATACACCTAACTTGTTGAAGGCCCTTTTACTTAATGTAAGACAATCAAAAACAATGTAAAGCTTTTGAAATATTTTGCTGGTGAAACTGGTTTTAAAATAATGGGCTATATGCTGAAATGAAAAAAAAAATATGTAAGGTAAGAGTAGGGGGATTCCAGATACAAGAAATACCTGCTAATAGGATATTTGACAAGTGTGCAGTGTCGGTACATAGGAATATATGTTAGAACTTGAAAAAAATGATAAAATCATAATTAACTGTAATTTTGTTTCCTTTAAATGTTAAATTTGAAACATATATAAGATTTGTGTGTAGGTTATTTTTTTGATGATAAAAAGATATAATCACTTTCTTAAAATAAGATATAAATCTTGTTTCTGACAATTTGTTTTTGATCCTTACTCTGCTAAATATCTTAAATGGACTTGTCCATCTGTCATCATTTTTAGGGAATATTAAAAAATATGTCCCGACAAAATAGTGAACAATGCAGACCATGATATGACAGACTGAATATGCTGACAGATCTTGGTCTGTACTGATATCATTGGTAGATAAAGTCATAACCAGCAAGTTTATAGTTAAAAGAAAGAAAGTTTTATAATGCATGAATGACTGTGTTACAGGTATGGGCCAGCCTATCAGTGATGATGAGGGAGGGTTCAAGCCAAACAATCTTGTAGCCTCGCCACCTGAATTTCTTACCTTGGAGGAATTTCTTGCAGAGGGGAGAGATGGAAAAACATCACCAAGGCAAAAGGTAAAATATCAAACAAACGAAACAATTCATAATAATCTTGGTCATGTTATTGTTGACTGAGGTTATTGTTAGGCCTTTTTATAACATCTGTTCTATATGTATTTATTCTACAGAAAGTATATTTCACTTTTGTATAGAAAGTGATGCCTTTTCTATTTACTTGGAATTTAAAAGATTTATATTGTCCAGCCCCAACCAGAAAGGATGTAACTATTTTTTCCTGAAACATGGTATTAATTTTTCATGTTATTGGAAATGTCTATTGCAGAAATCTCACAACTTACCTCATTTAAATCTCTCAGAATTGCACATGGAGACCTTGTTTATTTATTGGTTAGAAAAATGGCCTTAATAAAAATCATAAATCAAGATTTCTGTCTGCATATAGAATTTAGAGGATTGAGTAGGACTAACTAACTTCATTGCTTTTAGTTAGGGCCTTTGTGGCTGAGTGGTTAAGGTCATTGGCTGCTTTAAATCATTTGCGGCTCACCAGTGTTGGTCCAAAGTCTTTCAGGGAATTTGGATTCATTCATGTGAGAAAGCTATCCAGCTAGCTTATGTAAGGCTGGTGATTCTACTTGTGTGTCTGCTTGTGCCTGAAGTAATGCACAGAGGGGCATCTGAGGTCTTTCCTCCACCAGTAAAGTGGCATATAACCTTAACAAACAAACAAACAAACATTGTAATAAGGACAAATGAAACTTTGTGCATTTTTTTATCAAAATTTTAATGCAATGTAATAGCCAAAGAACAACATCTTTTTAAAACACAATACTAGTTTTCCATTCTGCTTTAATTTTTATGGTAATTTCCAATTCAGACTGATAATACATATATAAAGACCAAAATGTTTGCATTTTCAGAGAAAGATAGAATTAAAAGCAGAAGATACAGAATCGCGAAGCAGTGAAAACTCTGATGGAAGTGCCAGACGCCGCCGCCCTGCTCCATTACCACCTACTGAAAACCGTTCTGTACCGGCTGTAGCTGTCATGTCTCCACCAGATCATAGTATGTCGAGAATGTCTCGTTTATCAACTGGTGGCAGTAGCCAAGATATCCGTCCAGAATCAAGTGCCTTTACACAAGTAACATCATCATCATTTCATAGTAATATGCAGCCAAATTATACATCCACACCACTTAGACCTAATAATTCATATAGATCAAAACCATTTGAAGATATGAATTGTACGTTGGCTGTTTCGCTGGTTACTGTACCAGAAGATAGAAGAAACAATTTAGGTTATGAACATATTAATCAACCTCCATCACAAAAACCTAAAACTGATATGTCAGATTCTCCTCATTATAAAGGAGGTCATGAGACAATACTTAACCATGATAGTAGACTTAGTCCAGATGCTCGCCTGGAAATGTTGACCAGTACTGGAGGGGGCAGTGCCTTCTCACCAACTTCTTCAGTAAGTAGTCAGTCTCCACATTCCTCAAACTATTCTAGTCCTGGTGATCAAAGGTCAAGGTTACATGATGGTGATATGTCTATAAGGTCAGCTCAAGGACCTTTACCTGGATGGAGAGGTCAGAAAGGTCAATCATCATCTGGTCAACATCCAATGAAAGCAACTCATCCTGGGTATCCACCACCCAGTCATTCCCCTGGATTATCTAATCAACAGTTTGATGACAGAAATACTACAACACCACCAAGGAAAGGAAATATACTTGTCTCTAGACAAGGACCAAGACCTTATGGTCCTTCCAAAAATGTTGTTAGAGCTCGACCAGCCAGTGCCTTTGGTGCCCCTACAAAAAGTTCATTTCAAAATGAGGGGACAATGAATTCCTCAATGAACAATTCTAGACCAAACAGACAAGACCTCAATAACTCCATATCAAGTCATAGTCATAGTGATACTCGTGCCTCATATGACAATTCATATAATAAGGGACCAACTAGTGCTCACACAAATGGACAAGTTCAAAAAACAAGTGTGAAACAACGTACCAGTGTAAATAAAATGGAAAGACCCAAATCAGTTCCACCTACAATGTTTAATCAACATGGTAGTAGTGATTCTGATCAAAGCAATGACTATCAGCAAAATCATGTTGGTATTAAGGGCACACCTCCAGTTCCCCCTCCACGTAAAACAAAAGATATTTTATCTGGAGGACGTTATAGTGTTCTGCGGGAACCATCATCTCCAACTAAACCAATGGCATCCAGCAATTTAAACCAAGGTCAGTGGAACAATGGAAGTCAGAGTGGGTCACAAGTCCTGATAGGTCAGACACCTTCATCACCGCAGAAGATTGGCCCAACACCATCAAAATCATCCAACAACAGGCCATTACCACCAAAACCATTAAATTCTGAAGATGGGGAACACAAAGAAAACTCAATCTGGTACGAATATGGTTGTGTTTGATACTAGATATAAAATTGTTCGCATTCTTGTGTATGCTTTTAGGTAAAAACAGATTAAATAGAATATTTTCCTAGCATAATGCTTTAAGAAAAATAAGCTTTAGATTTAATATTTCTGATAATGATATAATCATAGATGAGATTATTTTTTTTGCTTGATGTAATATTTTGTTAACTGAAAATAAATGTTGTGATTTTCTTCATTTAATTTGAATGAGATCTGTGATTTCTACATAACACACATTCCTATTTTAATATGTCATTGTTATATTACAAAGAAGATCTCAGATTTATTAATTGTGAACATTTTGTTTGAAATCCAGGTCACATTTTCATTTTGTCTGCATTAATGACTTTATAAGAATTACAAGTGTATGTCTAAATTGTCACAATGTATATATACTGCCTTAGCATGAGTCAATGTTTTTAAAAGTATTTTTCAACTACTAACAGTAAAACTTCTATAAATTGTCCATCAGTGTTAAACTGAATATAAATATTATAAAACCAAGAGAAGCATATATTAAACATTGTTCCTCATCCTGCATGGTTTTTTAGCATGAAATATTGTAATATATCCAATTTGCTAGAATGTCACTGATTCAGCCCCTGTTTCCAGCACTCTTGTCAAAATAACTACATGTACCATTACTCTACTTGTCCCTTATACCGACATATTTTTTTCTAAAATTGAATATGAACTTATGCCAGGATTATTATATGTATTTCCAAATTGAAGATTTAATTTTTTTGGTTGTGATGAAACATAAAACCTTACAAAAACACCAACAAAGTTCTGGGTTTAAAAACTAGGTCATGATGAAAATCAAAGATACATTTGAGTCAAATCTTTGAGGGCTGTATTCCATAAGTAGGTCAAAGATCAAAGAAACATGATGATTGCATTCTTCTCAACATGAGATTTACAATAGTTGCAGTTTTTATTTAGGTGAGCAATGAAAGGACCACCAAGGTGTTCTTGTTTTTTTTTTATTAATTATTTTTGCTACAAAGTTAAGGGTCTTATATAATTCTATAATTCTGTTTTCTCAGGATTTGAAAAACATAAATATATTTCTGAAAATGTTAGGAAACCTGGCATAAATTCATTGAATGGTTTCTATATTCAGCTTTAAACCTACTGTAATAATGTATTGTTGTTTGTTCCAACATTCCTTTGTTGTTATGATGAGATGTCTGCAACATTATGTTTATATTTACACTTGTGTTGTCTCTTGTGATAAGTCTTATATACAAATGAGGTGATATTTTCATTGTTTTCACCTAAAATTGATCCATGAGCACCATTACCTTCCTTTTCTCCTAGTATATTTATAGGAATAATTCCCCATGTTATACATAACATTTTGCATGCATAGGTTACTTTTCTGAATGTAATTTACATTTTACTATTTATTTATATATGATTATGTTTTACTATCTTTATATCAAGGCGACCAAAGCGAGTTACATTTGATATAGAAGGCCTTCCAGAATCTCCTATACTTTAAGCTTACATGCTAAGCTTTTTAGTCTGCATTTAACATGGGAGGTACAAAACTGCAACATTAAGTAGAATGACCATTTAGCCAAGGCATTGCTTTTTTTTCAAGTAGAATACTAGTATATATAATACACTTATTTTGACATCTGTCTTTCGAATTGTGAAAAATATAATGAGGTTTTTGTTCACTTTCAAGATTTTAATAATGAAATTTTGATTAAAAGAATGATAATTATATATGCAATGCCATGTGCTGTTTGGTTATTGGTTGTATTTAGTCCAACAATATACACTGCCTATATAAATATGGATGATCCATTGTTTGTTTGTCCAGACCTTTCTGTTTGTATGTGTTGTCCTGGGTTGTAGAGTATAGAAAGTATGTTTATAGGAAAGAGCTAAGCATTTCTCAAAACAATTTAGAAGAGATACATTGTAAATTAGCAGGGTGTTTTGAAAAAGGATGAGTTGTCAGGACCTCCTGTCTATACAAGATATTCTCAAATAAGACATGTTTGAATTATTCAAATTTTATAAAGCTAGAAAATAAAAATGAGCCCCAAATGATTGGAAAAGCAAAGAATGTGTATTTTTAATAAAAAGTGATTAAAGTTTCAATCATTTATGTAAGTCATCCATCATCAGTTTCATAATCACATCAATATCATCAAGTGAAATTACTTATGAATATTATATGATATATAAAACTAAAGTCAACTTATTAATTTTCTCATGCTCCCTACAGTTGGAGAAGAGAGATGAATTTGTAAGTGGGTGGGGTAAAGGTTTTGGATAATCTCTCATGTGACCTTCTCATTGTGTCAGGGTTACAGCTCTTTAAACATGTTTATCTTCCAGTTAGAAAAAAAGAAAACAAACCAAGGCTTTAAACAGATAGAAAAGCAGGTTTAAATAAATCGGAGATTAATCAGCTTTGAGCTCATAATTCCTTGCAGGTTACTTTGTGTATATTTCACCCATTTCAGCTGGCTTGTCACAAATTTATAAATACTTTCCTCATTGATACATCAGTAACTGATATTTTTTTGGATCCATAAAAATCTAAGTAACACTTGCAATAATCAATTACCTTACATAATTTAGTTTACTCTCTTCATGTAATGCATTTCAGCGGGTTTTTTTTGTTGTTGTTTTTTTCTTTTTTTATATTTTCACAAGATTTATTTTGATATTATTTTGGCAGTATTAAAATGATTCATATACCTGGAAGATAGATTGATGGTTTAGGTATATATTTGCTCTTCCCAACTGTGTATGTGTGATTGACAGTAATCTAATGTTAAATTTGTATTTACAGGTACCTGTCATAAATAAGGCTTTTATAACTTACATAAAACATTATCTTAAAGATCAGAGATAAAATAAATACAGCACATTACAAACTAGCATATATTATTATAAATATATTATTGTAAATTTAAACAATATACTTATTTGTTAACATTAAAATATTTTTTTTAAAAAGCGGAGCACCAAAATACGGAAATTACAATCAAATTATGTTGTATTAATAACATTTTCTTTTTTGCTCACCAGAAGCTATTGTTATCACTCACTGTCTAGTGTCCGTCTGTCCAACCAGTCTGAACAACATCTCCTTAACCACAATGTCGATATAATATCAAAATTTTCTACAAATGATTTTAAAACAATTTATTCAATGCAATGATTCAGATTAGCTACGAAAATTCATTGGTCATACTGAGGAACAGTAATTTTCTCGACCTGATGAGTGTGATGAGTTAATTTTCATGCTCCCCGAAAAATTTCGGGCGAGCATATAGTCGCCAGGTTGTCCGTCCATATGTATGTCCTGAATTTGTGTCTGGCCCATAACTTTGTTACTTGAAGTTAACTTTTACAACTATTTCACAGAAATCATCACCATATTGAGACGACGTGTCATGCGTAACATTTTGGTTGTTACTATGAAGGTCAAGGTCACAGCATGACCTTGAAGCAAAATTGTGTCCGGCCAATAACTTCGTTATTTGAAGTTGGATTTTACAACTATTTCACAGAAATGATCAACATATTGAGACAACGTGTTGTGCGCAACATTTGGGTAGCTACCTTGAAGGTCAAGGTCACAGCATGACCTTGAAGCAAAATCGTGTCCGGCCCATAACTTCGTTATTTGAAGTCGGATTTTACAACTATTTTACAGAAATGATCACCATATTGAGACGATGTGTTGCGCGCAATATTTATTTGGGTCACTACCTTGAAGGTCAAGATCACAGCATGACCTTGAAGCAAAATCGTGTCCGGCCCATAACTTTGTTATTTGAAGTCGGATTTTACAACTATTTCACAGAAATGATCACCATATTGTTACGACATGTCATGCGCAAGTTGGTAGATAGATCTCATTGAGTAGAAGTAAATCTGCCTTGCCTAAGTTTGGAATTATCACACTTTGAACTTTGTCTGGGACATAACTCTGAAATTACAAAAGATATGCTTTTCTGTGTCTAAAACCTAGTCGGGGAGCATCACCCGGTTCAACCGGCTCTTGTTCCAGTCAGCCAAAGGGCCGATTCAATTTGAATCACTGTGCAGAAAGAAAGAAAAACTCTTAAAATCATCTCTGAAACTATAAAGGCTAGTGCTTGGATATTTGGCATGAAACATCATCAACCAAGCTTTTTTCAAATAATAGCCCTTGGGTCAAAATTGGTCCCTGTCCAAGGGGAGTCATGGTTCCTAATATGTTTATAGTGAATTAAAAATCATCTTCTCTGAAACAATAAAGGCTAAGGTTTAGATATTTGGCATGAAACATCAATTATTAGGCCTCTACCAAGTTTTTAAAATTATAGCCCAGGGGTTTGTCCTGCCCTGGGGGTCATAGGTTTGACTTATTTGTATATGTAGTAAAATCTCCTCCTCAGTCACTTGATAGATTTTGTTGAAGCTCTAAAAAAATGATCATTTGGTTGTTGTTTACTGAAATTGCTCAAACAATTCTAGTTTGCTGAACAAGATGGCGTCCAGATCTTAAAATAGATATAAGCTTTTAGTGTCATCTCCTCTTCAACCATGCTTCAGTTAATCAATAAACATCTACATGAAAGTGGTCCTTTACAAAATTTGCTTAAATGGTTTCTATTGGTTAACAGAAATAAGAATAAAATGATATTTCCTCTACCCATCAGATGATTTTCATAAAACTGAACTAATAAGAATACCCAGGCATGTAGACTATACACTCTGGTGAGCGATTAAGGGCCATCTTGGCCCTTTTGTTCAAATTCTGCTGTGAAAAAAATGATAAACTTTAGCTTAGTTTATACTGTAAATGATGAGAGAATGACAGTTTATTTGGACTCTCCAGTGAGTCATTGCCTGTTTATTGACATTATGTTCTATTATATTAAAACATGTTACAGTTAAGTTAAAGAAGCATTGTTTATGACAGTATTTTCATTACCACCTGTTTGATGACCTAACTTGAGTGTTTTATTTTCTTCACCATTTCAAGCATATACACCTCTGGTATTGAAGTTTAACCCCCTTGCCAAGGTGAAGGCCGGAAACTGAGGTGTGATACTCATATTGTATCGTATATAGTCACTGTTTTACCTGCACGCTTTCGGTTTTGGGTTTTTACATCTTGTTTACTTGTTTTTCATCTTAGTTACTGCTAGCTGTTTTTGTACTGGTAGACAGATACTTACCATGCTAAATATCTTAAATGAACATGTCCATCTTTCAGTCTGGATAAACCATTCATCATTTTTAGGGAAATTGTAAATTAAAAATAACCATTATTCAATGGCGCACACATGCCTGGTGATCTTGATTTGCATTTGTCACATAAGTAGATTCAGTCATGGCCAGAGGCTAAAGGATAACAATATTATCTTGCTTCCTTTATGAATGTATTTAAAAGTTTGAATCTGAGAGATTCTGTTGTCATGAAGTATCAATTTACTATAAAAGCTATTGTATTAATGGATGCAAATTCAAATCAATTCGCTGCTTTAGAATTGAAATTGTCTGTATAATATTAATTGAAAGGAATATTGAAAATTACTAAAATGAAATATATTGGGTATATATAATGTATGTATTAATACTTGGCCTTAACAATCCTTTTAACAATGCCTTGTAGTTGGCCAAACTGAACTTGACGTTGGTCTAAATTACCTTGATCTTGAAGGTCAAATTATTGCATTTTGCAAAAATTGGCAAATACTTTGTGATGGATAGAATGAATTAATACAGCACTTACCATTAAACTGTCTTGTAAAGCAAATGAAGTTTTACCTTGACCTTTTAATGATCTTGACCTTTAAGCTGTTCTTATTACTGATAGGAACATAACTTGAGAAATCTTTAACCATTTGATGGAGATAAGGGTCAGTAGGTCAAGGTCACGGGTGCCAGAAAAGATTTTTTATACACATTTACTTATGTAGCCTTTTTCTTTGATTGTCCAGTGATGGAAATCACAAGGTCATTGTCACCTGTGCTAACTCTGGATTAAGGCACTGTGTTTACCAAGCAAGTTGATGTTAATGGATTTTATTATTGTTTGGACAAATCAAAACTTGAAATACTTTTCTCATGGTGAGCGCTTTTGCTTAGAATTGCCTCCATTGTGTTATAAAAGAAAGATTTGCTTTAAATGCAGAATAACAGCCACTTAAGATAAAACTGTCTAGTGAAGCAATTCCAAAATGACCTTGACCTCTAAATGACTGATTCAAGTCAAGTTATTGAATTTTCATAAAGTTGGACAAATCTTGTTATTAATGAATAATTTGATTCATATTTGGACATGACAACACTTTGAACAAAACCTTCATGTGATAGAACTAAGGTATGACCTGTACCTTTTAATATCTTTGACCCTCAAGGACAAATATTAAAAAATTATTTGAATTCTATAAACTATGCACAGATATGATAAATATTTGGACCCAATGACATGTTCGACAACATCATCATACTGCCTGTCAGAAGTGAATATGATTGAAAAGTTTAATGATATTTAAGGCATTGTTTCACATTATGAAATTTGCTACAATTTCATTAGTTCTTATGTTTGGTTTATACTTGGACAAAACAACATTCAGGATCAAATTTTTAAATGAGTTTATTCAGAATATGACCTTGATCTTTGAAAGACCTTAGAGAGGCCTCTGTCAGTATTTTTGCATTTGATAGAAAGATAATACAGCAAATTCTTTTTTTACAGAATTGAATGAAATAATTTCATTGGCAGCAGCCAGAGCTACAGATAAGCAGGGTATCTGGGTAATTACCCAATAATTTTGACCAATTTACCCAATTAAAATAAAATCTTTGAGTAATAAAGAAGCAAATCAAAGGCTCAGTACCCAATTTGTTTTGATTCTGTAGCGTATTTCCAATATCTCCGACCCTAATTCACCTGGCGAAAACAGCCAAACAAATCCGAAATAGCCTGTTTTCCTTTCTTCCATTTTGTTTACCATGTTGCTGAGTAGACTGGTTATATAAATATCAATTTTTTTTTACAGAAAAGCTTATACTTTGAAGAGATAATTACATTGTGGCCCAGACTGAGGTCAATTTCAAGGAAATGGACGAAAAAAATCTAATATTTCAGTGCAGTCTTGCAAAACATTTTAGTTGATTTACTAAGCCAGAGCCTTAAAGGATGTTGTGAGAATTTTTTTTTAGCTAAAATAAGCATACATCATTATCTAATTCAGGTTAATCTGCACAAATAAATTTTTCAATGATACCCAATTTTGTTTCTGTGTTACCCAATTGTGTGTCATGTCCATGGGTAAATACCCAATTTACTCAAAAGCTTATCTGTAGGTCTGTCAGCAGCTGTTTATAGTTTATATAAACATGATTATCCAATGAAATGTGATGTTACAAACATGCAGTATTATAAAATATACAGTATATTTTTCTTTCAGTAATTTACTGTGAACTATCATAATGATAAGTGTTCTCTTAGGGCGAAGTAAATTTCAGTGTTTTGAATGTATTATTTTGTACGTATGGTGTAGATTTTGTTGTATAATGTAGGAAAATACATATTTGACAATTGGCAGCTTTTACTTGTATGTAGCATATTTACCTGCATTAGATCAAGCACAGTTTGTTGTGGTTCTTATTCTTGGCTGTAGTATTGCAAAATTTAGACATTCATATACTCCTACTTTTTCTACAGAATGTCTTGTCATAGATTTATATCTATACTTGTAGACACAGTTTTAAAGGAATGTATTCTTACTTTCATCCTACAGTATATTCATTTTCACCTTCTTATGAAATATAGCTGACTTATAGATACTGTATAATAGATTTAGAATATACTACTTGTAAGTAATATTCAATATTTACTCACTACCTTATCCAGAATGATAAACTCACTTCTGAAAATTATTTTGTAACAGTATATTATTATATGCTATAAAGAAATAAATAAAATTTTAGAACTATCAGTCTTGTGCAAGTTAAGCTATTTTATTATTTTTTACTAATTTTTGCATCTTTAATGAAAATTGTATATGTAATATCCCCAGTCCCCAACTACACAATCATGGACTCTAGCTTAACCCTCACCCTGTCCATTTGTATGTTAGTTTTTCTTATGCCTATTTCTCTTAAAAAAAATTTCAACCCTATTTCATAAATTATTCATTGATGTTATATTTCTTTAGCATAAGACTTTAGGGATGTCACAGAATTACCATGTTCCTATCATAATAAAATAATAATTTGATCATAATTTTACAGGATAAGTCTTTTCTCTTTTTAACAGGACTGCGACACGACTGTAAAGGTGGCCAGTTCTGCTTGACTAGTGCATGGAAGGCTTGGGATTTGTTATTGTGTCTCCCTCTTACAGGAGTCCCCACATACATAGAGCATGGAGCAGAACAAAAATAAAAAATGTTGTCTTGTCTGCCTGAAGTAACACTTTGACAAAAAATATGGCCTAACACTGTACATGTATTAGTTGTAGCTGTGGTTTTGGTGTTATATATATAAGCAAAAATATGTATAAAAATATAGCCAGAAAAAAACAATAGAATTGAAAAGGGGAGTAAATAGCATGTGAAGTCATTTTTTCGTATTTGTAATATACATAATTATATATATGTATGTGCCAGAACAAGAAAATTAAACTTGAAAGATAACATTTATTGATAATTAATAATTTTGATATAATGCCAGCTACTTTCTATATCATCAGGGCAAATTATAAATATACATTTACATATATAGGCCAAAGGAGCAAGAACTGTTCATGCTCAGCATAAAGGAGACCTGTCAACAAGACAATTTAAGTGAACATTTAGGTAAATGCGCATTGACAAAGATTTAAAAAAGAGACTCAAAATTATTATCCATTTTATAAATTTGACAATAAAAACCTGTCTGCTTGAAGAATGCTGTGTTGATATCTTTGAACCAAAACTCAATATTATATAATGACATTACTATTTGTAGATTTTGTGTACACGCAAATGTCACATTGTTACAGTATGCAACATCATTTTTGTTCTGATGATCATAATAAAAACCAGTTGACATATCATTAAACTAGTTAACTCATGGACTGTGTATATGTACATATAAACTTTTGAAAGATTAGTAAGGTTTATTATTATTTATTATATTTATTACGGTTACTGCTTGTACATCTAGCATAATGTTCAGATGAGGTGAAATCTGGGCTTTCTATTACATAGGCTGTGACAATATGACATTATAACAGTGTTGATGTGAGCATAAGAGCATTAGATAGAAATCTAACTTTCTGTATGTCTTAAATGTTTACCATGTAAAATTCCTATTGCATTTTAGAAGAAATAGGAAATTGTTGCATTTAGTTGACCTGTTTTGGCTGATTTAGGCTTACCCTTAAAATGATATAGGCAGACTACTGAATGCTGGTATATTACATGGTTTCTAGTATAAAATGTTATATATCTTACAAAACTGCATGCAGTAATTATATAACTCAAACTACCATGTATTGACTTAAACTTGATCTGTAAGCATATAAAAATAATGCACAAAAGTATATTAATAAAAAAATATGAAACAAAATCAATGATTTTACAGTATAACTATAAGGAAGTCAATCCTGTGTTTAAGATCACCTCTAAAAAAAGATAACCTTGTAAGTAAAGGCCGCATTTTTGATAACCTGTTATTGAAAAAATAGATTAAAGTAATGGCCACTTGTCTATTAAGGCCATGTTTTGTCTTTCCCATGATTGGCTTTTTTCACAGGTTTGACTGTACTTAGGTCATTTTCCTCATTACTTTTGACCAATTATATAAAACTTCTTTTGATAACTTTTCAGCTGTGCTTTATTTTTGCTTTGCAAACTATTTTTTTATGTTGTGACTAATGGTATAAAGTTAAACTTTCTGTGCATTTTGCATCTTTTACTTTATTCTGAACTTAGGATATTGTCAGTTGGCATGTTATGTTTGAACATACAGTGTTGTGACTCATACTTTTGTCATAAAATACATGTATACTATGTATTATTTGAATTGCCAAAAAAGAAATAGTTTCATAAACTGTTGGCAGTTTACCTCAGTATTGTTGATTGTGATTTTGTTACCTATTTATATGTAACTGTATCTGCATGAGGGTGCTTAATAGTTTACATGCTGAATTTATTAACTTTTCTGGCTTCCATTTTTGGAACTGTCCATTATTGATTTTGGGGATGTCAAAAATAGTCAGTCAACAGTATAGAGCCTGGTCATACTATACAGATGTGCAGCCTAACATGGCTCTATACTGGTGGCAAAAGTTCTTCAGTTGAAGCAGTTTAAGGCAGAAAGTTTAAATGTTTTATGTTTCTTGATACAACATTTATCATGCTCAAAACTTGAAAATTGTAGATTCCTTATTTTTGAATTTATTGCATGAAAAACAGATGATTTGTCAAAAAATTAGTAATATAAGAATATTGATAAACAAAACTAACTTTTTTGTGTTTGTTTTAAATGTATCCAAAATTAACTACATGTAGGAAGTCGGACTTATAGCCTACTTATTTTGTTTAGTTTTAAGTTTTGTATTATATTGTTATGTTATTGTATAGTTACTGTCCACCTTTACAGTTAGTGATGAACATGTAGGAATGCATTATTTCTGAGTTTGTATATTTTATGAAATGTTGCATTTACTGGTGTTATTAGAAGTAGATATGTGATAATTATGTTTATTGAATGTCTATATATGACACATTGTTATGGGTTTAGGCTGGCCTTGTGTCGTCCCATCATATGTTACTTTATGTTGTGCTATAAAAGTCTTGCATTTATTTTTGAGGAACAAAGTTTAATGAAGTTTCTTGTACATTTATTATTAATTTATTATGTATATGTATTGAGAAGGCTTAGATTAGTCTTTCATCATTAGATGTCTCGAAATTGTACTATGTCCTTTTGTTGGCTTTCTAGGGGTCACCTAATTTACATGGACTTGTATAGAATTACCTATTCAAATTTTAGTCTGTGAAACTTCATGGTCTAAGATATTTAGCTTGTAGTAAACTTTGTGAATCTCTATATAAGTTGTGAATTTTTGTTTGTGAAATTAAGATTTGACCATGGATGACTTTACAGGGACTACACTGAGGATTTTTAAATTTGGGGTCTGGGAATAATTTTAATCATGTTCCTTTTGATGTAGGTCTAGACCAGTTATATGTTTACAATGCTTTTTCACTCAAATCAGGCAGAAAATAGCAAAGAAAACAACAACAATTTTCAATTTATTTCTGAGAATATTCCTTAACTATCTGCTGCATATCTTTCTGTTTGAATGTCTCAGCTGATCTATGTAAGAAATTAAAATTTTATATTTTAGGCTTTTGTTCCTCAGTGTAGTTCTTTTAAATTCTACCTTCTTCAGCATTGAAGAATTATAAAGCAATGAAATGAGTTGAGCAGTATAACCAACATGGTCCTTTTGAATTTTGTATATTGGCTCTCAAAATATTATGTATGCAAAAACACTTGCTGAAAATTTTGCATGCAAGTTATTTTATTTGAAACTTTTGTCTCTACATGTTGATACAGTCAGATACCTTTAAGGTCACTGTCAGGTACCTTTTAGGTCACTGTCAGATAGCAATTATTCTGGCACAGAACTGATATTAATTGACTTAATCCCCTTTATGTGCTTAAGTATGTCTGCTCCACTGTAGTTTTTAGGCCATTCATCATCTGTTGTTTGTAAATATTAAGGTTATTAAGTTGTTCATTCAAAATTAAATATTTGCCAAGCTCATGTCTCAATTTTACCTTAAATTAAAAACTGTTTTTAGTTTCTGGCAATGTTTTACATATAAAACTTGTTTTTCTCAATTCTTTGTTACATTTGTTCCAACATTTTAGAATTTATTGTAAAATTTGAAGCATATACATATATTTTGAACACTGTATAACTATTTGTTAATTAATGTTAATGGATCATGAACATGTGTATATTTATTCATTTTACATTCAGATTTACAAACACTGTTTTGTATAGAAGCTTATTGTGTATTTTTGTAAAATGTGATTTGTTTTCTTTTGAAATAAGAATGTGCCTTTGAACAAATTTATACATATTTATACATTTTTTTATATAATAGCATTTTTACATTATTTAGGGAAATGGCCTTATGAATAAATACATTTTGGATTAAACAAACATAACTTGGAAATACACATGTAGGTACTTTATAACTTGGAAATACATACTCTATGAGAGGTTCAGGACAAGTTCAGGTACCCAGTGACACTCCTAAGCAACATAGAAAAACTTTAAGATTACCAATATCTTAAACCATAGATAACTACAGAATAATTATGTTTATTACATGCTTTTCAGTGGTTTATAGAAATATATCAGTGATATAAAACTGGTAATTTCACTGTTTGAAACAGTGAAATTACCACTTTGATAATTTCACTGTTTTGAATTTAAGCCCCTTACCTTGTTTCAGTGAAATACCAGCGTGCACAGTACTGGGTACCAACTTAATGACGTGACGTGGTAAATGACGTCACGTTGTATTATTATTTGGCGCGCTTTTCATTCCGTGTTAGGTTACATGTGTTTTTAAAACGTTTCTTTGCATGTAATAAAAAGAAAATTCGTTTAGTTTAGTGTAAGATTGAAATATATTTCACCTTGTGAACACCAAAAGTTCATATTTCACTCGTGGCTGCGCCACTCGTGAAATATACCTTTTGGTGCTCACTCGGTGAAATATATTCCGATCTTACACTGAACTAAACAAATATCCTCTATATACTAATCTAGCTCTGCTTAAAATAAGAGTTCAGACTAGCTATTTGAGTATATACAATATTTAATATGTTACTGGTCATGGTTATAATTACATTTATATTTGAAAATTAATCCTGATAGAGTATAGCATTAAATATAAAATAAAACACAACTTTTAGTAGAACTTTTACTTTAGGAAAGTAATCTCTAAATCACTGTTTTTGTTTTAAAACATGCTTTTTGCAGTTTAGCTTTATAATTTTGCTGATTTTATTTATAGAGGAAAGGTATAATAGATATACAAAAAAGGAGTAAATACTAAAATTAAAATCTGAGATGATGGTTTTCATTTATATTTAAGCTAGAACACCATAGTATGATAATTATATTACAATAATTAAAAAACTTGTTTTGGCATAATTGAACTATTTTTCAACTATTATAGCAACATTAATGAAATATTGATTTTTTTAGGTAAATGTGCTAAGGGTTTTATGACCTTCTTTTGTTGTTGCTTTTTTTACATTCTCACTAGAGCACAGAGTGCTTTCATGTGAGCTATATATAGTAATCACATGTTGTCTGCCACAGATTCCTTGAACAACATCTAAACCAAAGGTAGATTTTTGATTAAACTTTACAGGAAATGGTCTTACAAAACTTAGTCTGATACACTCAATCATGCACCTGCGATTAAAATTGGACTCACCATTGGGAATACTTACTTTGCATAGATTTATAAGAAAATGTATAAAAATATTTTTTTTTTTAAAAACTGTTTTGTTTGAAACAACATTGCCCATTGGAAGATTCTTGATGTGCCTTGTGAGCCACTGCATGAATTATATAAATCATGTTTCTTTGTTTCAAAATGGCCACACCTCATTGTTAATTTTGTTACTAAGAATAGATATTTTTTTTTTGTGGTAAGCAAAGCTCAAGCTGTTCATTGACTAACTTTTTTATTTTTCTAAACTATTACCTTATAGAATTTGTATCATACAACAATATCTGTGTTATTCTTTATGCTATATGCCTTCAAATTAGGTCAGATACACATTTCTGTGTGTGAAATAAACTTTTACATTGGATGTCTGTAACTTATCTTACATGATGGGCACAGTAACCTTTTTACAGAGTTTTATCCCTTTCCTTTCTGTCAAGTACTGTGAATTTAATAGTTGAGGGTACTGTCTTACAGACAGCTCTTGTTTTAAATTAAGACTACTGATACACTTTACTGTGTGAAGGTATTTGAAGACCTGTTGTAGTCTAACAGTTGTTCTCTGGTGAGCAACCTAGGGCCTATATGTCCCTCTTGTTTTGTTTTACTTAAAATGATATCCGTCCTA